CGTTCCTGAACATGCGCTTCCGGTTCCAGGCTTGGGCGACCTCCCACCAATTCCGGATGATGCGCTTGCCCTCGTCGTTTGTACATATCGACTCTGGATGAAATTGAACTCCCCAGAACGGCTTCTGCAAGTGCTTGACGCCCATGAGAACGGCACCGTTAAGATCGCTATCAAAATCCCAAGCCAACGGCTCCAACTGGGGGCAGGTCTCGGTGGGTTCCCAAAGCTGTGCAGGATACCGTACAGCGCGCTTGTTCTGTATGGGGTGATCGAGTTTGACTTGCAAAGAGTGGTACTGCGTTGCTAACAGACTCTCTACACCGCGGAATATTGACTGGCTCTTGTGTAGGACGGCCGTTATGATACCGTGCTTTGGTTCCGCGAGCCGTTCAATATCGGCTCCAAATGCAAGGCATAGCGACTGGAATCCGAGACATATACCGAGCACTGGAACGATCTGCTCATCCCCAAGTTTCCAGAGTTCCTTCATTAGACCAACATCGTCGTCACATTTCGCCCAGCCAGGTCCTGGCCCTGCGATGACGGCATCAAAGCTCTTCAAATAGTCGGTAAATGCTGTGTACTCCCCAGAGGCTGATGGCTTCGCAAGAATAGGATCATCGATAAAGATTTTGATGATTTCCGCGTCTACGTTCTGTTCGACCAGCGCGACAATGTTGTTTGAGAAAGAGTCGTAGGCGTCCAGGCAGAGTATCCTTGGGCGCTGAGTCAGAACGGCGGGCGCCATCGCTTTGGTCTTGGATACGGAGCCCGGGATGATCGGACAGCGCGTATGATGTTTCTACAACAGATTCCAATATTGAATTGTCAAGAGAGTCAGACCAGACGTCTCAGCGACTGCCAGGTGTTGTATCGTGGTTGGTGAAAAGTTGAAGAGGTGGTAGGGCTGAAATCTTATCCCGCGATAAACCCGGCGATTCGCCGGTGCAAGTGCGGAACCGTGGATCGGGATTGCAGGAGTACCTTGGCTGTAGTTGAGTAGCTGGATGATTGACAGTAGGAGAGCCGAGGGAGCGATGGCAAAGCGATGGAAAGTGTCACAATGAACGATAACGATCTCATGCCAGGCCGCCACCTGGTTAGGGTCAAAAGGCGCCAGATGCAGGGTCCTACGGAAGCAGCCGCTTAGCTTCTCGACGCATCTGAGGTGTGCATGTCCTCGAAAAGGAAAGCATCCTTCGCTAATGTTGTTTCACCCAGACGATCGACCTCTTGCCACCTCCTTAAAACCCCGCGCCATGTTCTAGAAGTCAGAGACGTGTTACAGCTATCCCACACGCGCTGCAGTAGCCCTACGAAGTCGAACCTCTTCATCCTCACAGGTGCCAGGAAAGAGCCTACTGGACGACACATAGAGCAATGTCGGTATAGTCTCCAACCTAGCCTGACGCTCTTGATCTGCGCGTCAGATATCAGAATGCCACAAGATACCCTTTAGTAATGATGGCATCGGACATGATTACGCCTCGGCATACTAGAGTGGGCATCGCGCTTGGGCCATGTCGTCATGTCGAGATTCTTCCGCTGCGTTCCCACGGCGCGAGACCACCACATTTTGTTGAAGACGGCCAAGTCCCACAGTCGCCATGTCCTGGCTCAAATGGCGGGCAGGGCCCTTGATAGTACTCGGGACCTCAGCCATTGGCGGCGCCGCCTATCGCTTCACCAAATCCGCCGACCCCTCCGACGCATCGTTGAACCCCCATACCTTCACGCCCTACACTCTCGTAGACAAGCAGCCCGTCTCGTCGACCAGCGCAATATTTACATTACGCAACAGCAATGGTGTCTCGGACACGGAAAGTGTGAAGGAAGTGTGGAAGCGCAGTATCTGGAGTGTCCAGATTAAGCAGCCACAGCTACAGATTGCGCGCGCATACACACCACTGCCGCCTTTACCACCAGACGTCCACAAGAATGGCGAGAATGAGCCTGAGGATATGAGGCTGCTCATACGGCAGGAACAGGGAGGCGAGGTCTCGACCTACCTGCACCGACTACCCGAACAATCCACTGTCGAGCTACGAGGACCGAACACCGAACTTGAACTTCCGCGCGATGTCATAGAGGTTGTCTTCCTGGCAGGTGGGACCGGCATAGCACCCGCGATGCAGGTTGCGCAAGCCCTGGGAAGAAGGACTGGAAGCCGGATGCACATACTATGGGCGAATAGGCGGCGTGAAGAATGTGTAGGTGGCGTCAGCGACGACAGAGGCAGTACAACATCTGCACTAGATCGAGTAGGCTGGTGGCAGAGCTTCTTCGGTTCCAGCGAGTCCGTTGCAGCTGCACCACTTGCGGAGGACTCATCTACCGCGTCCAAGGGCATTGTGGTGAAGGAACTGGATGCGCTCAAGAAGCGGAGCGAAGCAACAAAAGGCGAAGGCCTCCGTGTCAACTACTACGTCGACGAGGAGAAGACATTTATCCATCCATCCGAGATCGAGAAGAAGATACAAAGGCAACGAGCAGAGAACGGCTCAAGGCTGATCATAGTATCAGGTCCAGATGGATTCATTGAGCATTGGGCAGGCAAGAAGCTCTGGGCCAACGGAAGAGAGGTACAAGGCCCATTAGGTGGCCAACTAGGAAGGATGCAACTAGGTGAGTGGAAAGTAATCAAGCTGTAAGATAATGTACGTTCACCATGATATCCATCTTCTTCACTCTCATACTCTTTATGCGCCTACCATCTTGTTCCTAGCGCATGTTAACACACTCCGCGGATCTTGACATCGGTGTTTCTCCGAGTCCGTAACTGCGCATATATGCAAGCCGGGAATAGTGCAGCCATCACTTGCCTAAATAGCGGCTAGACATTATGCAACAAGCGCGGCCTCATGGATGAATTCCGCGCGCTGAATAATTCCACAATCGGCGCATTTCGATCATTGCTCATCAGATCCCTGTCTCATCAATTCGAAACTTACACAGCATCTTTCCTATCAATTGCTCTTTGCGCTTCGTTCAACTTTCCGTTCAGCGTTCCGAGACGAAATGGGGGTGGACGCAGCAGACCCAGACGCCGAAGTCGCCGCTTCCCTTTCCTATCATGAGCAGCCAATCAGCGACAAGGATCCCAACGCGCGACCAGAATGCTTCACATCGACGTTCCAAGAATGCATGTTCATCGCCTCGGTGACTATGGCCGTGGCCATGACGAGTTTCCTAACCGGGTCAATTACAGTCATGAGTTCCTTCGCTGCACGGGACCTCAACATGACGAATGCGGAAATCACATGGATGAATGCAGCGACATCGTAAGCACATGTCCAGCAGAACAACTCGAGAAGCACAGACTGAAAATCCTTAGACTCACAGCAGGATCCCTCCTCCTCTTCTTCGGCAGCGTAGCCGACCTCTTCGGCCGCAAAACCATGTTCATAGCCTCCATGTTCCTCTTCTCCGTCTTCTGTCTCGGCGCCGGTTTCTCCACCTCAGGTATGACTTTAGATATCCTCTGCGGCGTGCTAGGCATCTTCTCCGCGTCCTCCGTGCCCCCAGCCCAAGGCATGCTGGGCGCCATCTACGAGTTGCCCAGCCGACGCAAGAACCGCGCTTTTGGCTGTTTCAGCGCGGGAAACCCCATGGGCTTTGTTTTCGGAACTATCTTGTCGGGACTATTTACGCAGGTGTTTAGTTGGAGAGCAGGGTTTTGGTTGCTTGCTATTGTGTACTTTGTGACTAGCATTGTTGCGGCGTTTACGGTGCCGAGGGATGGGACGCCCAAGAGGAGGTTGGATGCTGAGACGGTTAAGAGGTTGGATTTGCCGGGGACGGGGTTGACGGTGCTGGGGATTGGGATGTTCTGTGCGGCGTTGAGGTATGTTCTTTATGTAGGGTTGAGAGGATGTCAAACTGATTATGGGGTAGTCTCGGAGGCGATGCACTGCAGGGGTGGAAGACGCCGTATGTTCTTGTCCTACTGGTCCTAGGTGTTATTCTCATCGCGGCGTTTGTCGTATGGGAGATCAAATACCCATATGCTATGATCGATATGAAGATCTGGTATGATCGGGACTTTTCCCTTGTAAGTCCTCCTTCCAATCCCCATCTCCACCATCACCACCAGAAGACGTCCAACACAGCCCACTAACACGCCCACCAACCCCAGCTCCTCACCATCCTCTCCTGCGGCTTCCTTGGCTTCCCCATTTTCTCCTTCTGGATCGCACTCTACTTCCAAACCCAACTGAACTACAACGCCCTAATGACAGGCGTACACATGCTCCCCATGGTAATCGTAGGTCTAACAGCCAACGCCGTAGCCGCCCTCGTGCAACACAAAGTCTCCAACAAACTGCTCGTGGGCATCGGTGCGGCCGCACTAACCGTCTCATTCACCCTCGCCGCCGTGCAGAGGTACGGAGACTCATATTGGGCGTTTTCTTTCCCCGCACTGTGTTTGTGTGTTATTGGAGTGGATTTCCAGTTCATTGTCGCTAATGTAAGTTCCTCTCCCTTCCAATTTCGTTGTGTATTGTTAGTGGTTCTTGACACTGATCACGAGTAGATGTACGTCCTCTCATCCATGCCTACAAACAAACAATCCATTGCCGGGTCGCTATTCCAGACTCTGACTCGTCTGTGTACTGCGATTGCGTATGGTGCTGCGACTGCCATATTTGATGCCGTTCAAAGACGTCCTGCTACCTCTGGCTACTATGCGAAAAATGCTGCGGAGCCGTTTGCGGCGGTGTTTTGGTTCGCGGTCGCGGCATCGGTACCTGGGCTGCTTCTTGTTCCCTTTCTGAGGATTGGTACGCAGGGGCATAAGGGGGATACTGGGAGGGTTAAAGTGAGTGGGGATGATGGGCATGTTGTTGCTGCTGTCAGCGAGAAGCATGGACGGAGTGATGTGGAGGAGAGAGGAGAAGTGGTGTAAACGCATATGATAGGAACATCACGAAACTCAAAACAATTCGAATATCTGAACTTTGAACATGTGCTTGGTATTGTTGAGGGCAGTTGATCCGCATCTACTGATCAGGGTTGTAGTACTTCCGCCAGTTATGTTCCTCCTTGAATCCAAGAACATCCCTAATCTTGCGGTTACTCAGCGGCGCCTCCCATTCGTCCATCTCCCTCGTAATCGGCGTATTTGGTGCATACTGCTCAAGGAACTGCTTCGTCGGGAACGTAGCAGTGATGGTATCGTTCGTTGCGTTGAAGACCTGGAAGCCCAGTCCATCCTTCTGTACGCATAGATCGCAAATCTGGCCAAGATCACGCGCATCAATGTATGCCCAAGCGTTTCTCTTGCGGCACTCTGGGGACTTGATGTACTTTGGGAAGTCGCGCTCGTACTCGTGGGGCTCGATAACGTTTCCAATGCGGAGGGCGTATATGTCTGCGTCGAATCTGCGGGCAAATCCGCGGGCGACGCGCTCGCCGCAGAGTTTGGAGATGGCATAGGTGTCCATGGGGTTTACGTCCATATCTTCAGTCAGTGGGAACGCGGTGTAGTCGAGATCTCCTTGGCCAAAGCACACTTCGTAGGTGGTTTCGCTGCTGGCGATGATGATCTTCTTGACGCCGAGCTTGCAAGCTGCCTCGATGACATTGTATGTTGACCTCACGTTGCCGGCATAGCACTCGTTGTCGGGTACTAGCATGTTTCGTGCGTAGGCTGCGAAGTGGATGACCGCGTCTGGTGGGCCGGGTACGTGAGGACCTTCATAGCCGGCGAAGTTGAAGTGGGTTGTGAGCGCGTTGAAGACCTGGCCGCTGTCTGTGAGGTCGGTTTTGAGGGTGAAGACTCCGGCGTTCGGGTCGGGGAAGTCTGATTGGTGTTAGTTGATAAATCATCGCGGACCAGAAAACAACACGTACCTGTCAAGTCAAGATTGAGTACCGAGTAGCCCTTCTTGATGAGTTCTGGGATGACATGGCGTCCAGCCTTTCCTGAGCCGCCGGTGAAGACGATGCGCTTCCCTGAGGGGGCCATTGTGGGGAATCTGGGGAGTGGAAGAATGTTCTTGTATGTTCGCGATCTAATACTCGATATATTAGTGGTAGGTTGCGCATGGGGTAACTGCGGGGTCATTCCTACCCTCTGTAAACAAAAGATCTAACTGGCGTTTTAGGGAATCTGCTGAGACAAGATTGAAAATTCACCCAAGAAATCGTTCAGCAGAGATATCCTCATCTTTATAGGCGTCATTATGCATCTGCAGATCGATCGTCCCACCGGGACATCTCAATGCGAACAGGCGTGGCGAGGACGGTAGCTACAGCGGGATGTAGATGGTCGGTAAACCTACGTCACGACCCCTACCCCGGCATTTGGAGGTTGGACCCACCTAAGCACTACTTTTCGGTGGTACGACATGCTAGCGCAGGAAGACAGCGAATCTTCCGCAATTGCCATTTCACCACCTAGCACATCTTCACCTATGGTCGCATATCCCTATCCACACAGATGACCAGCGGTCTGATGCGGCGCTTCTCCACGTTTGCCCGCACGCAACTCCCCACTAGGACAGCGAGATCGCTCACTGCGCCCCGGCTGCTGGGGCTCAAGCAGTACAAGAGGACCCTCAGCGACGCCGGCGCGAGACAGGCATCCGTGTCGAGGCACTGGTTCACTAGCTCTTCGCCATGCTCCCATCCGGAATCCGATGAGCGCGAGAAGGCGCGTTCGAATGAGCGCAACTTGAAACTAGGAAACAGTAGGCGGCACCTGCTACATGTAGGATTAGAAGGCTGACACGATTACAGCAATCCGAGTACTCCACGATCGCCTACCCACGCTCTTAATATCGCCCCTACCGCAAGACATACTTTCCCCGCAGATTAGTCTTCAACTGTTCCCCTCGACGCACCCGCACCTACCCACCGTTAGTGGGAGGATTTCATACGCGGCAGCATTATGGACTGCACCGGTCGCATGGGGCCAAGTCCCCGTACTGGGCAATGTAAAGCTCAAGATATTGTCTGAGCGCATGGTCAAGAATGGAGGATCAACCACAAGCAACGTACGCAACGAGAAGCTCATAGTCCGGTGGCAGACATGCAGATCGGAGAAGGAGAACGGCCAGGTCAGCGACGTAGTCGAAAAGATTACGAGCATTGTCGCAGGATCCAAGAGGCCGCACCAGGAATTCACTGGGCTGTTCAAGTTCGAGTTCGACGAAGAGGGGCGCATCTTGAATCACATCATCGAGCACACGGAAGAGGGCCAGCACTGGGACAGGACGGCCAAGGTTATCAGTGTCACTGACTGGCTGCTGGGACGGGCGTGGGGGAGGCGTGAGGAAGTGAGCCCTAGTCTGGCTTTTGTCAAGTGCTGGAGAGAGAAGAACAGCCGGGGTCGTGGCGAGCGGCGATGAAGCGTCGGGGTACAGGCCCTTGACCACTCTATTGTACAAGACTTGTAATCACGAAGTAATGACAACACCCATCCTCACACAGCAGCGTCAATTTCACATGCGTATCCACTGCTGATGACGTGCGATTGGCCGAGGGCTTGGGTGAAATGCGGAGGCCGGCCATGTGCATGGAAATGAGTGGCAGGGCGGGATGGGATGCATCGACAGCGTGGCTGGGCCCGTGACAGCTGCTGTGTTTCCGCCCAATAGACGAGTTGTGAGCATCGACGCAGCACTAACGACTAACTCGCGCCTAGCATCACTAGGATCAAGCTTCCGGCGCATCTCCCCAAGGCCAACCCTCCACCAACATTGCTACCACCATCGCGCCCCCTTCACCCCCAAGGGCTTTCCATCGCTACTCGAGAGGTGTTTTTTCGCGTGTAGCCGCCGGCCGCTAGCCCTGCAGCAGTCCACCGCCCGGCCGCCCAAAGCTTCCCCGCTCCATTACACGACAGCGCCGGGAGCTTCAGCCTCATCCACCCAGGCAGAAGCCTAACAACCACGAGCGCCGTCCACGGAGCCCACACAGCCATGGCGGACCTCGCACAGAGCGGCGAATTGAGTGCGTGCTGACACATACACCTGCCCACGTCCCAGCTAACGAGGCGCAGACCAGCCCGTCCTCAACCTGACGCCCGAGGAGAAGCGCGTCTTCCAGTTCCTCTTCCAGCAAGCCGACACGGAGAAGCTGGGCGTCATAACAGGCGAGATTGCCGTCAAGTTCTTCGAGCGCACCAAGCTGGCACCCGCTGTCCTGGGCGAGATATGGCAGATTGCAGACACGGAGAACCGCGGTCTCCTGACCATGGCCGGCTTCTGCCAGGTCCTGCGACTCATCGGACACTACCAGGCCGGCAGAGACCCCGCCCCAGAGCTGGCCTTTAGACGTATGACCTCAATGGCCCGTAGCATAGCCATGCGCTGACACTGCCGCAGCTGCGCCCCTGCCCAAGTTCGAGGGCTTGAACATCCCATCCGCTCCTCCCGCCGCCCCGAGCTTCTCTCCACAACCCACCGGTTCGATACAACCTCAGATGAGCGGCAACGGCCCCATCCGCGTGCCTCCGCTAGTACCTGCCAAGGCTGCTGAATACGCAGGCCTCTTCGAGAAGTCTGGGGCCGTCAATGGCGTGCTCTCTGGTATGTGTCTTGATACTCGACTAGTGCGACTCTAACATTCCCAGGCGAGAATGCAAAGGAGATCTTCGAGAAAGCGCGGTTACCCAACGAAGTCCTCGGTCGCATCTGGAATCTCTCCGACACGGAGCAGCGCGGCGCTTTGAACGTCACCGAATTCATCATTGCCATGCACATGCTCGCTTCCTACCGAACTGGCAACATGAAGGCCCTCCCGACCGCCCTGCCCCCAGGCCTGTACGAAGCCGCCTCGCGACGGGGACAACTCCCACCTCCATCAGGCCGACCAGATCAATCCATGTCCATCCCGCGCCAGTTCAGCGGTCAGCAAAACCAGCCGCGGCAATCGAGTCCCCTTGGACGAACGCCATTTGGAGCACCGGCTCCAGCACCCCAACCGACCGGCAGCGATTGGCTCATCAGCCCACAAGAGAAGGCGTCTTACGACAACCTCTTCAAGACCGTCGATACCATGGGCCGCGGTTTTATTACTGGAGACCAGGCAGTACGCTTCTTCAGCGACTCCGGGCTACCCGAAGATGTCCTCGCAGGAATATGGGACCTCGCAGACATCAATTCGGAAGGTCAGCTGTCCAAGGACGAATTTGCAGTCGCAATGTACCTCATCCGTCAACAACGGAAGGGAGACCAGCTTCCAGCAACGCTTCCACCCAGCCTGATCCCCCCGAGCCTACGCACAGCCGCCAACCAAGCAGTACCGGTAGCTGCTCCTCAGCCAGCGCCACCCGTTCCTCGCGCCGTCAAATCAGCTGCAGATGATCTCTTCGGACTCGACGCCTTCACAGCACCGGCTCCTGCTCCTCAGCAACCGCAATCGACAGGCGGCTCGGCTACCTTCAGCAAGCCATTCGAGGCTGATCCTTTCGGAAGCAAGCCAACTTCGCCCACGTCTCCTCACCCATTCCAGCCTCAACCGCGAAACCCCGCTTCCACCTTCAAGCCGTTCATGCCTAGTTCTTCATTCGGTCAGACTCTTACCGCGCATTCTACAGGCCAATCGGGTACTTCTGGCGTGCCACAGCACTCCACACCATCCGCAATGGACGATTTGCTGGGTGGAGAGGATGTTGCTGAGATCAACAAGAAGCTGACGCAAGACTCGACTGACCTGGCCAACATGTCTAACCAGATGACCACTCTCCGAAACCAGATGCAGGAAGTTCAGAACAAGAAGACTGCGACCGAGGGCGATCTCAACAGTGTGAACACCCAAAAGCGCGATCTCGAGCTGCGCCTCTCGCAGTTCAAGACCCAGTACGACCAGGAAGTCAAGGCTGTCAAGGCGCTAGAGGACCGACTGGCTGCCTCTCGAAACGAGACGCGCAAGCTGCAACAGGACCTTGCTATGATCGAGGGCTCTTACCAGGATCTCCAGAATCAGCACCGCCAGGTAGGAGGCCAACTTGAGGCTGACCAACGCGAGAACAACAGCTTGAAAGAACGCATCCGCCAGCTCAACACCGAGATTGGACAGCTGCGTCCTCAGCTTGACAAGATGAGGAACGATGCCCGACAGCAGAAGGGCATGGTCGCTATCAACAAGAAGCAGCTTGCTACCAATGAGGGAGAACGCGACAAGATCAGGAACGAAATGAACGACTTGACCAAGTCGCAGGAAGAGGGCACACGCAGTCCGCAGGCCCAGACCCCCGCCGTCGCCGTAAGCCCCGCAGCGTCCACTACAAGCCAGAGCACGAACCCATTCTTCCGCAAGTCGCCCCAACCCGTTGCGGAGAACACCATGTCGCCATCTGGATTCGCACGTGAAGGCCCGCACAAGGACTTTGACAGCGTTTTTGGCAGCTTCGGCACTCCTCAAAGCACAGCACCTCCCGTCTCTTTCCGTCCCGAAAACCAGAGCCAAGGTCCCAGCTTCTCTGTTCCATCCGGCCAATCAGTGCGCTCTTCCGAAGGACCTGACGTTCCCACACCGTCTACCTCACCCCCTCTGTCTTCTTACCAGGAATCTCCCCGCGCTGCAGACCCGCCAGCTCCCCCTGAGTCGCGTCAATTCGGCTCTTCATTCCTGCCTCTGAGGGAAGGTGGCCAGCGATCCGACTCATTCAGCTCTTCCGTGCGAGCTACTGCTCCTGCCAGCAGATACGGTGGCCCTGGCAACGAGACCCCTACGATCTCCCAGGCATCTCCTGCGAGCACACCAATAGCAGAGAAGCCCACGGTGGAGCGAACTGAAACTAACCGTACAGAAACCGACAACTTTAACCCTTCTCTATTCAACCGTAACTTCTCATCAGCATCTCCTGTAGCCAGTATCACCAGTGACACTCAGCGCTCAACCAGAGCTGAGGACCGTAAGGATGCCTTCTCTAACTTCGGAGCACCTTCAGCTGGTGTTGACATTCCTGGTGCCTTCCCACGTGAGGCCGCTACCCCTCTTCAACAGAACCAAACTGGAGAGAGCAGTCTGAGCGCCCCCAACAGGAACATCAACCGCGCCGACCCCTTCGGCAGCAAGTCTGGTGAACAACCTCGTGGAGGCAAGGATGATTTCGATGCGGCATTCGCTGGCTTCGGCCCAAGTCGTCAGAATACTGCTACTGCATCCACCACAAGCGCACCCGCGGATAACTCCAACAGGTTCAACAAGGAGTTCCCTCCGATCGAAGACCTCGCTCACGACGATGACAGCGACAGTAACGATGAGCGCGGATTCGATGACAACTTCACATCCGCGTCGCCAAACCAGAAGCGTACTAGCACAGGACAAGAGCAGCGCTCTCAGCAACAGCAGCGACCGGGTACTGCGTCAAGTGACGAGCTGTACAGAGCTCCGCCGCCAACTACCCGCTTGGACTCCAACATCGGTGGCTTGCCCTCTCCTAGCGCGCAGAAGTCCCCACCCACCTACGAGTCCAGTGTGAACCAGACCAGAAGTGGATCGAACCAATTCCCCCCTGAGTTTGGTGGTCTTCTTCCTGCTCGCGAAGACCCAACGTCACCAGGATCTCCTGACACCGCGCAAGGCCCGGAAAAGTCGTACAATCCTCCTGGCGGTCACGGAGCTGCTCTCTTTGGCGGTCCTTCCAAGTCTGCGACTACATCGCCCCCTCCTCTAGATACTCCATCATCGACCGTTCCATCCGATCAATACCACTCGGCAGTATCGTACGGTGCCAATGAGAATAACAAGGGCCCATCACCTTCCAACAACGTCCCCCAACTCGGCAAGTCTGCCTTCAACGATGACTTCGACGCCGGCTTTGATGATCTAGCAGATGCCAAGGAGGATGACCGGGCTGACGACGACTTCATGTTCTCTTCGCAGAACCGTGAAGGTCTCGACGAGTTCAACCCAGTGTTTGACTCGCCAGCTGCCTCCAAGTCAAACACCATGGCTTCTCAGCAGACTCCCACCGGCAAGCCTCGTGGTGATGACAGCTTCAGTGACTTTGAACACCTGTCGCAGACCTTTGGAGGACAACCCCAGCAGCCTCAACCCGCTGCCTCGTCCCAGGACTGGGATGCCATCTTCTCCAACCTCGAGTCGTCGCAGACCGACAAGGGCTCGCACTCGCAGCAAGCATCCACTGACTTTGGCAAGTCCGTCTTTGACACTCTCGACAATGAGGAGGCTGCTGCTTCTTCATCCAAGTCTCAGGGGTTGTCGCCTCAAATGCCCTCGCTCGGTCGTGCAATCAGCACTGGAACCGAGCATGACGACCCTATCCTCAAGAAGCTGACTGGTATGGGCTATGGACGTAACGACGCCTTGTCTGCGCTCGAGAAGTACGACTACGACATCAACAAGGTAAGCAATGCAATCATGCTCTATATGAGAGGGAGCTCAAACTGACAATTCCCAATAGGCCGCCGACCACCTGGCTTCCGGAGGAAACTAAACACTCCAATCATTTCCACTCCAAACCACCACACACACTCACGCACCCCGGATCGCTCTTTTGTATGAGTACACATGTTTAGCATGGCTTTGTCACAACAAACTTTTCATACCCTTGGAGCGTTGGACCTGTCCCTCTCCCTTTTTTCCACTGTGGCTGCGACGCACGCCCTTTCCTTTGTTCACGCTTACTCTTCTTGTACTAAAGCTTTCACTTGAGACGGAGGCTTTTGGGCCAGTCTTGGTGCTGGCTGTGTAGTAGGGAGGATTGGGTCTGAGCGACTGCTGCGTTTTGTGCACATGGTTAGTTACTTAATCTAATTCGTTCTTTGGTTGATCGATGGGATGTTGTCTGCTTGTGCTTCCGTAAATGTGTATTTTGATGTTGATTAGAGCTTTGTAGCCCGCTCAAATAATATCCTGCCGTGTGGCATAGCTACATGAAGTCTCCATACTGCAAATCCCGTGATTCGTATCGTGATCTCTGTTTCTGGAGTCCGAAAGTGCCTTCACAGTCGCCGCTGTGCCAAAAGTGATCAAGATCGCCTGATTCCTGCCATCGGGTTTTCAGCGCTTCGCGCACCTTGAGCTTGGTTTCCATGTCTAGGGTCTGGTCCCGATTGAACAAGAATTCCGCGTCGTGGCTCTCGTTTTCTGGTCCTTCTTCTTCTTCTTCGTCGCTTTCTTCATCTGTTACCTCCTCGTCTTCCTCGCTGTCTTCGTTCGTGTCTTGCTCATTCTTGTCGCTTGCAACATTAGGCGGACGGAGAACGTAATGCCGGGCAGAGTCCCCATCTGCATCCTCTTCTTTCTCCTATCACTCATTAGCCCCACTCGTGCAGACACTCGCGTGATAATTAGCATTTGCCACTCCCCTTCCGTCATGCTGAAGAATCGACAAGGCGGCCCCCACTGGTCTTTCACTCTTTCAGCAGATGTCAAATACCTGATTCCTACATCTTCAATTCTCTTTTGGCGTGGTGTACACCAGTCGTCTAGATTTGCCTGGAACACCCTGACCGACTCCCCCCTATGTATGAGATCATACACGGGCCGTCTGATCGACTCGAGGATATTGAGCATAATTCGCTCATCTTCCATGTCGTAGGGATGACGATATCGATACCCACCAAATTTGATAGTTCCAATCTGGAAAGCGGTCTCGAGGCGGATGCAAATCTCGTGTTTGCGTTTCGTAGGTAGCAGCTGGAGGTCTTGGAGGTTTTTGTGAAGAGTCGCCACTTCGTCCTCGCTTTGCATTTCAGTTCCGGAGAAGTTGAGTACCAGCGTGAACTTGCGGATAAACTGATGCGGCTTTATTCTGAGCTTGAAGGGATCGGCGCGGAACAGGTTGCTCATCTCCTGGGCAGACGTGATGTAGAAACTGTTGATACTGTAGTAAGTTTCTGTAAGCTCTTGGGCTGCGTGCACTCCAAAGTATGCTGGATCCATAGCCCAGCATTTAGGTTGCATGTGGAGACTTTCACCGCAGATGTCGAGTGCTTCAATACCCTCGCCCCATTGCGAGTCTAACCAGCCAATGCGTATGCTCTTGCCGCATACGACACGCCACCATACTCCGCTATATTCCGGTGTAGTTTGAGGCTGAGCTGTCGGGCCGACGATGTAGGCGTATACCATGTTTCGAAGCTCCTTTGGTAAGACAGCGTGGAATTCGCTAGCTAGTTCGCGACATGATTTTCGCGCAGCAGTTGCGACTTCTACTGCTCTTTGGCGTTCCAAAGGGGAGGCATTGTATCTATATGTGGCTGTCGATTAGCAGAGATATTGATTCCAGTGGAAGTGAGGGACTGTACATTGGTATCGAGTCGATCTGTTCGTTGAACTTGCATCTCACAAAACCCTTGGCTCTTTCGGCTTCGGCATGGAGACGGATGATTTCAGGGTCGAGGTGCACCATAGTTGAGGGATGTGAGACGGACGTGTTGAAGGACACCAGAGGATTACGGAAAAGAGAGGGTATGTATGTCCGCGGCACAATGCTCCGCCCTCGCAGCACCCTTACATGGAAGGTCCAATCAGCTACTGTACCTCGAAGAACGTGCATAGACGCTCGCGCCTGCATTGCATTGCATTCTATTGCTCTACCACACAAATGCAATCGTGGAGTCTTTCATGATAAGAAGTTCGATTAAAATGATACCAAATCCCCATCAACCCATCAAACAACAAACGTGCACATCATACGCTTATACATGCAACATCGTCCCACTCAACACTTATACACCCTAAATCTTCATGTCATTAAACCTTCGAAACACCAACAGCAACAGATTCGGTTCTCACAGCAGCATCAACTTTCTCTTCATAGCGATCAAAAGCAGCAGTCCCTTGGATATGGCTGTCCTCAAACACATCGACAGTCGTGCTTGCAAACTTGCGCGCGCTGACGCGCTTCTCGAAGAGGAGATCAAGTTCAGCGAAAGAGCGGCCCTTGGGTTCGGGTAGGCGGAAGTAGGTGTAGATGATACTTAGGAAGCAGGAGCCGGCCCAGAAGAATCCGGCGTAGTTGCCCCTGGGGTGTGGTTAGCAGAGGGAAGAAGGAGAGGAAGGGAGAGAGGGAGGGTCGTACCAGTTCCAGGCTCCGGGGTTGAGCATGTAGGGTGTGAGGACGGAGGTGATGATTCCGATTACGTTGTAGAGGTTGCGGCCGAGTACCACGGTCTTGATTGCGAGGCGGCGGGTGGAGAGCTCAGCAACGAGGGAGTAGCATACGGTGCCGACGGTCAACTGGTAGAACATAGCCCAAACAATCATCATAGCTCCGGTAGCCATGGCGCCCTTCTCACGTTGAGAGGCCGGTACCAGGCCAAGGAAACCCATGACGAAGAGCATAACGCATAGTCCACAGAGACCACCTAGGTAGAGTGTTCGGCGTCCGAACCCGACTTTCATGAGGTACCAAGCGCCAAAGACACCGGCCATGTTAATACCGTACTGACCCATTGCGAAGTCATACGAAGTCGATGCGGGTAGACCGGCCTGTTGGAGGAAGTAGGAAGAGTAACCCGAGAAAGCGTTTCCACTCAAGTTCTGCATCGCCCAGGCCATGCAGACAATCTCCGTACGACGCAAATCAGTACCCTTGAAGCAGTCCCAGTAGCTGGCTCCCTGGGTGATCTTCTCTTCGAGGGCGGTGGTGTGCACCATCATGGCCACCGTTTCGTCGGCATCGAAATCAGTTTCTCGGTCCAAGCTGGTGAGTCGAAGCAGGGATTTCTTCGCGTCTTCGATTCTTCCTTTACGGACTAGCCACCATGGCGACTCGGGCGCTAGGAAGACACCGATGATGAGAGGGACGGGCCACATCCATTGGAGGGCGTAGGGGATGCGGTATGACCATTCGTCATCACGGTCGACCATGGAGCGGATGACACCGATACCGATGACTTGACCAAGACCCCAGCAGAAGTTGACGTAGGTGGTTACTAACTGATGTGAGCTTGTGTATGTGAAAGTAGAGCTTGATAAACTTACAGTATCCGCGCAGAGCAACAGGGCAGACCTCGCAAGCGTATGTGATAGTAAGTGTCTGGAAGACACCCCAGGGGATACCACAGAGAATCTCCGCAATCAGCAAGTGCACCACCGTCTGAGCCGTGAAGAAGATGGTGGTGAACCCAATGATCAGAAGCAAGCAACCCATGACAGTGTAGCGGTATCCGATAGCCTCACTGATCCACCCATTGAGGAAAAGACCAATGATCTCGCCCACAATGACTCCGTTCGACAGTCCAGCTTGCCATGGCGCAGGAATTTCCCAAGACCCGTCCGGAAGCTGCTCGCCATACTTTTGCTTGAACTGCGGGAATCCGAAGAAGTTGTTCAGCAGGCAGACATCGTAGCCTTCCATGACGATACACGTGCTGATAAGGACAGACCATCCAATCGCCTTGGGATAGAGTTTGATACCCTGCATCAGCGTCATCTTGCGTTCGTTGTCCGTGGCAAGCCGCGCATCGTCAACAAGCTTGTTAGCAGCGCGCTTGTGATCGGACTCCTCATTCTCTCCATAATGCTCGAACGGGGGCGCGGCAGTAGGCTGAATATCCTTCTCTTCCGCCATGACTGCTCTCTTCCGTGAACTCTCCTTGCAAACCAGAGAAATTCGGGCCGATGTCGATCCGGCCAGGGCTGGGCTGCTTTGGGAACGATAGTGGGGTGCTGCAACGCTGCTCCACACACTCTCGAACCAGGACAAAAGTAAAGAGAAATCCGGGGAAACTGCTACCGTGACATTGGGTGGTAGGACATGAGGCGGTCTTTAAGCATAAAATTTTGCGGGGTCTAGCATGGCTTTCGGGTAAGCGTGGTTGTAGCGGCGAACCATGCAAGCCAGGGTCTGGGTCGCGTGCAGACAGGTGGAGCTTTCATCTCCTGCGGCCGTGCGCGGACGTGATTGGGTCGTCCCATATGCGACCTTCTTGCTATGGGTTAGGAAGACAGAGACGGATGCTGGTGGCTCGGGTAATTCTTCGTTCACATGGTCTCGTGGCACGCCTGGTGCATGCCCAGCTGGCCTGTCCTTGGCCAGAGCGTGGGTGTTCACGATCGGAGCGGTGGCCGACAAGCTGACCGTTGAGCTGGAGTACTCGCGCATACCATGTGCATGGCTAGGTCAGCCACACCGAAAATCGGCAATAGCGACCGCGCCGTAGTGAATTGCTGATAGCTGTGATGTCGGAAGTTGTTGCCAGTGTACGCAAGAAATCGTACAAGTAAGCCCAAGAAGGAGTTTGCCGAGGTAGCGCCTTCGGCTTTCACCCGTACCTGGCGGTGTAGTGTCAAACGGCATGTTGAACATTCTAGAAGCTGTGGAATGTATTGCATCTGCACCAAGATGGTATTTATCTAATTATGTTCCTTGTTTGTGTCTTTAAGCCCGTGTAAGCTACATCAAGTAGTCCTGTGTCCATTCGCGGGCTCCTCAATAGTGTCATCCTCCTCTACACCAGTAATTGCTTCCGCTTCTTCACTCCGCGGCTGTACTCGTCCGCCAAAGAATGCGAGAAGCAATAAATCATATGTCGCTTTCAAGCTACCAGCTGCAACAAAAGCGACCCAGAAATGATCGTTCCCAGCAAGTACACCAGTAAGACTTGGTCCACTGCTCTGGGATAGTGTCTTGAGTATATTGACTACGCCCATAACGGCAGTTCGCTCTTCTGGTAAGACCACAATCGAGAGAAAGGCTGATCGAGGGGCCTGATCCATAGAGTTGAGCACAGAGCGACCAACGAGCAGGCAGATGGTTAAAGCTAGTCCCGACGGTACAGGCAGTAGCGCGAGGAATATAGAAGAAGGCAGATGAGTGAAGACCATTGCTTGGATTAAGCCGAGACGTTTTGCTAGACTCGAGGCGAAGACATTTCCAAGTGTCGACACAAACCTGTATGTTCGTAAGTGTGTGGTTTAAGGCATACTTCGATCAGGTTGTGACTTACCATGTTGCAGACATGATGCCACCTAGCTTCCCTTTTGGTAGATCAAATTTACGTTCCATGTAGTAGTTGATCAAGCTAAAGGGGACCATCCCCGAGCCCAAAGAATCGAGGAAGAACAAGCTGCAGAGTTTGATAAGAACAATGCGACTCGACTTGGAGATTTTGCTTAGGGAATGCCAAAACTTCTTAGGCTTTTTGGGGGCTGCGTCTCGAGTTGCAGTATCTCGATTCTCTGTTTCGTCATTGTTCAGCAAAGGCTCGGTCTCAACTGATGCAGCAGACTTGTTCCGTTCATCGTTCCAGTCGCTGTGCTCGCATCTCTGGCTCAGGAACAGAGTCATCAGCGCCTTGACACACCCGACCCCAGTGTAAATCCAGAAGATGGCGCGATACGCATCCAGATCCGTCCAACCCTCGATAGCCTGCAGGTTGTCGACCGCAACACCACCAACTGCCAACCCCGTTGACGTGCCCAGTACAGCCAAGACGACATACCAAGTGTACACATCCGACCTCTTGTCCTCGGCTACCAGGTGCGCTAACGTCGACTCCTCCACAGCTCTGAACGGCCCGATCTCGTTCCCACTAGGACTGATGACACCGACGATGGCTGCTAGAAGCAAAGCCACATAGTTGCTTGTTGTTGCGAAAACAGCGCCGGATATTGCCATGGACACAGCTCCAAGGAGTAACGTTCGGCGCCGTCCTAGCGTATCCGCGACAAGTGTGAGGAGGAGGCTGATGACTACATCGCCGAGCAACGTCAACGACATGAAGAGTCCGATCTGTTCATCTGAGAATCCTTGCTCTTGGAAGAAGAGTGCGAGGATAAGTGCCACGCTCCCGTATGCAAACAGACGGATGTACCGTGCCAGAATGAGGATGTAGACGTCTTTTCCAGCATGCTTCATTGTCGCGAGTCCCAGTTCGCGGCCGAGCCATTGTGCCGCTTTGACAGGCGCATCACGAACAGACATGCTCCGAGGTTCGGGATAGGGTGGGTATTATGAACGTGGCGGAGTTGGTACACCTGGACTCTAAGACGTTAGGAAGGCCAGAAGTTTTGTAGAAGGAAAAAAGAAGAGAAGAGGCTCTGGTTATGATTGCTTTTCCGAAGCCATGACGGATCAGAGTGTTTAGTGCTGCCTGGAGGCCTGGGGCCTAGTCGAGTTTCGCGTCATACGTCAGCGCCTGCATTTTACCGGATGCGGGAAGGAGCGAAGGGTACTCGGCATACATACATGTCAAAGGGCGCATCAAGGGCGCAAATCAGTTGTCACAATGTGACGCAGAGATCTTAATAAGTAGGACGTTAGCATCGAAGCTGTTGTTGAATCTTATCCATCAGTCGTGTGGTGGCTGAGCTGGCGTCTTCACATCACTAAAGCGCATGTTTGTGTTCGTGGAACAAGCATCAAAGATCTAGGAGATGAAGTCTGATTGCCCATATTAAAGAACACCTGAGACACCGAAGGGAAGAGACCTAGTGGCCACCACAAATTGTAATGCAGACACCAGCACATCCCAGAAATCCAAACGAGAGCCCCCATTCTATGCGATCGGATGTCGCCATGCTAGCGCACAACTTCGGGATGGAAACGTGGAGATGGTGACGAATGGGAGACATGGCGGTCATGTATCAGTGAGCATTATCGTAGTACTGCACCAACCCTCGCATGGCGTAAAGGCGGGAGCTCAAACACCCACGCCGTGCATTGCTCATCCGTAGACACCGGTCCGTTCTCCGACACATAACAACTCTTCCTCTTTCTCTAGCAGCAACCACCGCCGGATCCGTTTTGGACACCCTGGCCCTGGCCGATGGGGACTGTGGGCTTGGTGTTGGCGGTTGTGGTACCCATGCGCTCCTTGATCTGGCGGGCCATGGTCAGGAAAGCTTGCTCGACGTTGGTGGCGCTCTTTGCGGAGGTCTCGAGGAAGGGGATGCCGAGGCTGTCTGCGAACTCCTGTTTGAGCTGTTAGATGGCGTGCGTGCTCTGGGGTTAGCGAGATGATGGTACCTTTGCTACGGTGTACTCGACAACCTTCTTGTCCGCCATATCGGACTTGTTGCCGACCAACAGCTTGTTGACGCCCTCGGTTGCGTATCGGTCAATCTCCTGCAGCCACTGCTTTACGTTGTTGAAAGAGTCCATGTCGGTGACATCGTAGACGACGCAGATGCCGTGGGCGCCGCGGTAGTACGAAGATGTGATGGTTCGGAAGCGCTCCTGGCCAGCGGTATCCCACTATGATGACTGTCAGCACTCACGCCCAGACGCTGCATTCTGCAGTGTACGCACAATCTGTAGCTTCACCGTCTTGCCATCGAGCTCGATTGTTCGGATTTTCTGGGGCTTGTTAGATTATCGCCGACCGGGGCTGCAGGTGCGCGGGACAACGCACAAAGTCGACACCGATGGTCGAGATGTAGCTCTCGGTGTATGTGTCGTCGGCGAAACGGAGGAGCAGGCACGACTTTCCGACACCAGAGTCACCGATGAGGAGGAGCTTAAAGAGGTAGTCGTATCTGTCGAAGCGAGCCGTCAGCGGGAGCCTTGCATGGCAAGACGGGCAGCACCAGGGCTGCTGTCGATGGCAAAAAGTAACTCTGCGGGTCTTCACGTTAGCACAGTCGCAACCCCAGATCTGGCGGCGCTTTCCCCCGGCCTGTGGCGGTGGGCGTCGCGCGGAGGTTACGTACCACTCAGGGTTCATGATGGCGGTGTTGCGGGTGTGGAAAGAGGGAAGAGACTAAGAGATGTAAGTTGGGGGTGGTCAGAGGCAGTCGTTGTGGGGTATCGCGGGTCGTCGAGGCGGACGGTGTTAAGTAGAGGGTGATGGGGTGCAATGCGCGGATACCAGATGTGAATAGCTTGGCATTCAGCCAGGCCCAAATCCGTGGTCACAAGTTGCCGTAGCTTGTCGCGCCATCAACATCACATTCACGCCTGCTTATCTGCCGCCTAGCTTTGTCCAGTGAGGCGCCCGTACGCCGTCTGACGTATGACTCTGCTTTGTCTTGTTGCCAGTGCCAGACAGTCGCAGATCACGCATCATCATGTACAGTGCCAGGTGGGTGCCATCAGTGCACCCACGTGACAGCCGCCAGGGTCCACCGCCCCAGTCACCCAGCCATGGCACGCATCACCGCCATCGACTACAAGTAGCTTTCACCCAACTGATCATGGAATGGAGAATGTGTCATTCGTTTGCAGCAGTGTGCAGTCCATCGTACGTCGTTGCCTTTGACGTAGCCCAACCTGCCAGCTCTAAAGCACCGTAACCCGAAACCCCCATATAGTACAGACATCAGGACAAGTTCATCGCTACATATTACATTATTTTGCCGAAAGCAGGGATCAGTGTTTGGGCCAACCAGAAGGAGAAGACCAGCTTGGGTCCTGTCATGAGCAGCTTGGGCGTCAGTCCCTTGAAGAAGGACGTGGGACCCTCGTGCTTCATCATGTTGGACACGATCCTGAAGCCGCTCTCGGGGTTCTCAAAGTTCCTGTTCTGGATACGCGTCTTGATGACATCGAGAGGAGCAGAGACGACGAGCGATGCGCTGGCTCCGGCGATGGAGGCGACAAAGTTTTGCGACCATGAGGCCGAGTTGTAGTCGGTGAGTTTGTAGAAGTACTCCTTGGCGACAGCGGAACCACCGAAGAGCTGGGGGTGTGTTAGTATTCGGATAGCTGTAAGTAGAGTGGTATACATACTGCGAATGACCCTGGCGCGTTACGTGCTGCCGTCCATCCCCAACCACGGTACAGCCCGAGCCCTTCGTCGGAGATGATCTTGAACAGCCCACGGCCTCGGAAAGCCTCAGGGTTGGTTTGTCGCTTGATCTTGAGAACATCCAATGGCAGGAGGACAATCTCACCGATACCGATTATGGAACCGGCAGTCGCGTGCATGATAGCCTTGCCGTTGCCCTTGCCGAATGCGCGGTCGAAGCTGTCACCGTGGTTGTGGGCGAGGTAGTCGCGTACGAAGGGCTGTCCGCCGAACTTGTATACTCGTTGGAGGATCTATATCTGTCAGTCCGAGTTCCTGTGTGCTCGCACTTTCTAACGCACCTTGTATGCGGCGGCATATCCGAGACCGGGGAACAGTGAGAAGAATCGCCCAGAGACTGACGCGCCAGCTGCGTCTCTGAAGACAACCTTGTTGAGATGTGCAGCGTTCTCAATCTACATGTGTTCGAGTCAGAGGCCGTCGGGGTATTGTATGGTCCACATGTCGCACCTTGCCAATGTTGCTCATCAACCGCTTCGCCGTCGTGTCGACCGGGTGGAAGACCATGAGCTCTGCGATTCCCGCACATCCTGTGCATGTCAGATATGCTATATTGACTCCAGAACGGCCGATGTACCTGCACCCAGGACCCTAGCTGTGTTGGACTCCCTCTTGTACACCTTTGCGGACGAGTTGGTGCCGGCAGCGACTTGCGCAACCTTTGCGGCGGCTTCGGAAGGTGATGGCGTCATGGTCGAGGATTTCAAGCAAAGCAGAAATGGACAATTGACAGGTGTGAGAGGGAGCAACAGCGCAAGGCAATTGCGGTACCGAGCAGTGAAGAACGGGAGCTAGAGATAAGATGCCCAACGATACCCGCTCTCAAAAAAAGTCGTCGGGGAAGCGAGTTCAACGTCCGGCATCGCCCCGCCAAGCACCACGCCGCTACCACACGCGCCCCCAGACGCGAAACTTTGTCCCTCCATCCCGACACGCACCGGCAGCATCACATCACGCGATTGAGGAGCACTCCGCCTGCTACACGCGAACTCTGCCTCGCCCAGCATAGAAATCTGTCAAGTCGGAAATTTGCAGTCGCCACGTGACGCGCATGATGAAGCCCGAGTCCTCAGATCGTAAGTAGTTGACTAACTAGCTAACCATATCATACAAGAAGATTTATACGAAACAATAAACGCCCCTGTTCTACGCACAATCAAATCCGGAATGAAAGGCTGTGCGCCTATCCTTTCCTCTCTGCAACCAAGCCAGCGAACTCGCCTAGCGACGGTGTCTGCAGAATCTCAAAGATACTGACTTTAGCTTTGACAAAGCTACCCAACCAGTTCCGGAAGTCCACAGCAACCAATGAGTCGACGCCGATGCTTGTGAGCGCATCAGCAGTGTCGATGGCGCTCGTCTCCAGATTGAACAAGTCGGCAACCTTGGCTACTAGCAGGTCTGTGACGACCTCCTTCGTTTTGCTGTCACCCGCCGACAGTGCCGATAACTGAGCTATCAATCCATCGATGTTCTTGGATGACTCGGACTGTCCCTGAGCTGAGGCTTCTGTCGCGGTATCATCGCCCAGTCGAAGAGTTCCCAATCGACGATCATTCTTCACCGCTGGATCGTCTACCAACTTGCTGTATCCAGTGATACATGTAATGATCTGACTGTTTTCGGCCCGGCGTCGATTTGGGTTCCTGATTGCATCCCCGAATAGTCGCAACATATGGGCAATCGGAAGACATTTCATGCCAAGGGCCTTCTCCACGCGGTTCTTCACCACATCTCCTCCTTGTGCGACGTATCCGACATCGTCAATAGGACCAAGATCAATTGTCACGGCGGGCAGGCCAAGGGCAGTGCGGTATCGCGCAATCGCGTCCTGGAACGTACCGCCAGCGGTGTAGTTGCTCTGTGACACGTTGCCGAGAACTGCAGTGGCGGAAGAGGTCGTGATGAAGAACTGGAGGTCAAGCAGGTTGTTATGAAGGGCCCAGGTGCCGGTGACCTTAGGACCAATGGCCTTCTGCCACTGCTCAAAGGTCATGCTTTCAAAGACAGTGTCGTCAAGGATTGCAGCAATCTGAAGAACTCCCCGGATCGGAGGTAACTCTGCCTTCACCTCTGCGAGGAGACTACAGACCGCTCCTTCGTCGGCAATATCGCAGTTGCGAAGATGAACGTTGCAACCGTGCTCTTGTCCTTGTTCAATCAACGCCAGCCCCTTCGGATGAGCGACAGCATTGCGGGAGACGATCAAAAGGCTCTTGACCCCCTGTTCCAACATCCACGAAGCGGTGGCAAGTCCGATGCCTCCAAGGCCTCCAACGATCATGAAGGTAGAATTTGGAGCGTCTAGGCCAAGCGATGTTTCAGCCTTTGGGACGACATGAACCTCGTCGCCTGGCTGTGGCAGGATCACAGCACTGCCCATGTAGCTTCCACCTCGGACATACTGGAGCGCTTCATGGATCTCAGCCAACTTGAAGGCCTTCATTGGTGTCGCGGGTCTCGCTTCCTTGTGCTGCAACAATTCGATGGAGTTCGCCAATGCCCTGTGGAACATGGCGCCTCTCATCTCGCTGTACTGGAGGGTATCAAGACCAGTCATGGACACTCCGCGGCCAAAGGGCGACATGTCAAGATGCTTTGCCTTCTCGGTATCAGCCTTACCGATCTGCACAAAGCGACCAAACGGTGCAGTGCACTCCCAGGATGCCTTGAGCAACGGTCCGGTTACTGAGCTCAGCGTCACATCAACTCCCTCGCTGTTCGTCTGAGACATGATAGCAGAAACGAGATAGGCGGCTTCATCCTGCAGGATATGGCTGGGAGCGATGTTGTAATCTTCCAGCAGAACTCGACGCTCTTCGTCTGTTCCGCAAGTGACGAAGATCTCGGCTCCGATGTTCTCCGCCAGTGCAAGAGCAGCCTGGCCCACACCTGCCGTACCGAAGTGTAACAACACTCGCTCATGCTTCTGAAGTCTTGCGATGTCGCGCAAGGCTAAGCAAGCGGTGGAGTATGCATATGGGGTGGACGCGGCTTCCTCCCATGTAAGCTTGTCGGAAACTTTGATGACGTTGGTATAATGAGCGCGACCGGCGTTGCTGATAGGCCCTTTGAAGATGCCGCACACTCGATCTCCAACGCGAAGTCCGGAGTCTCGTGTGTCCGGGCCAAGGTTCCTGACGATACCACTGCTCTCATGCGCAACCGACTCGTTCTCTTCACTCGCCCCTACAATGTTCAGCCCAAAGGCTTTCGGTTCGATCTCAACAAATCCACTCGGCAGATCATCCGCCGCATCAGATGTATCCATAAAGCAAGACTCTGCGCCAGATGTACCGCTGCCTGATGGTTGTAGGACTAGTGTTTTGCCGGAGTAGCTGAACTTCTGCAGCTGAAGAGGTTTTGCGCCTCCGCTGGCAGCGCGATCCTGTTCAAAGTCCGGATAGATGCGAGGAACGTACAGGTTCTGGTTTTTGGCGGAATATTCCCAATCAATGTTGATGTTCTCAGATGTGCTGTAGTCAAAGCTTTGCTTGAACACATGCGCAAGCATGAGGATGGTCTCGGTTGGCAATGATTGTTGGGGTGGCTCGCATGCCAACCGAACGTATCGTGTGCTTGGATCTTCGCGTCGCAGAGTTCTCAAGAGACCAGTCACCTGGGCAAAGCGTGGATCTTCATCGTCGACAGCTCCACCAAAGCTCAGCCAAAGAATGCCCTTGGACCGAAGAAGGAGACTTCGGAGCTTTTCAAATGCACCGCGATCCATAGTATCGATGAAAGGTGTGCCTTGGTCGAGCGCCATGATCAGTAGACGGTCACTGTCTGCCTCAACTTCATCGAGAGTCTCCACCGAGGGAGCTGAACCAGTAACGTGCTGCACGGTTCCTGATACTTGATCCAACCAGGTTTGAGGTTCCAAAGCTGACGGTACGACAATCGAAATTGAAGACGGATACAATGGATCCTGGGTTTTGGCGTGCGACAAGATTGTGCTGGTAAACTGGACTTCGGGGTTTTCGCAGTCTCCAATCTCGAACTCGACGCCAGAGAAGCCTGCTGCTTTCAGAGCCTTGTCCCATACTCCTAGGTTGACGTAAGGGCATGTTTGGCGTTCAGGCTCTTCGCTCAACCACCATCTCTCAACTGTTCCGAAGATCAATTGGACGTCAAGTGAATCCTGGCTCCCTTCGAGCAAGACTAGCTGGCCTCCAGGTCGCAGCAGCTTTCTGACGTTCGACAAGGTGCGCTCCAGGCTCGGTGTCGCATGGAGCACATGCGAAGCAACTACAAGATCGTAACTATGGGCTACGAACCCCTGCTCGATCGGATCTTGCTCGATGTCGAGCTTGGAGTAATTCATCTTGTCTTCCCAAGTGGCAAACTTGGTCTTTGCTGCGCCAAAGAACCCTGAAGAGATGTCCGTAAAGTCGTAATGGCCCAGTAGCGAAGCACCTGACTCTTGCTCAGATCGCGCAGCGAAAGCATCCAGAACAACGGATGTTGCTCCGCCAGTTCCGCCACCGATCTCGATGACTTTGGCCCCGGGTTCCACAACAGAGTAAAGCTCCACAATCTTTCGGAGATGCTTGTAAGAGCCGTTGCAAAGCTGCGGAAGCTGCTCGTAGTAGCGATTCAAGAGTCCGTCTTCCATCATCAACTCCAAAGGTGTTAACTTGCCTTGCACGATGTCACACAGATGGCTTCCAACGCGTTGGACCAACTCTCCGGACGCGTTGGTTTGGGCCACTCGATCACAGAGCTCCTCGATGGAAGCCTTGTTCCTCGTAGACCATTGATCACTCCCTGACATGAGTGTACCTTTGTCGGCCGACAGGATGATGGAGTTCATCCACTCGTAGAACCTCTTGTGATACCAAGTCCATTGGTCGTCCGCCTTCGGTCCCAGCTGCTCCAGAGTTCGGGAAATATGGTGGTAAGATATTTCGCGGACGTCCCGTGCAAAGTCGAGTTCAGACTGGGTTAGGGGAATCCTCATCGAGTCTTTGATATCATCTGGGATAGCGTAGTGGATGTCGAGTTCCCATCGGCTCTTGGAATGGATCGCGGGATGCGCTGACTTCGCATCTTGCGCATGCGTAGCCGCCTGGGTAACACGCTGGAGACGGAAGTTCTGCATCTCGAATGATCCCGTTTGGTGCGCATCATCTCCTGTGGGAAACACTGAGCCTGTGAAGATTGAACCTTTGGTGCCTGATGACAGGCAGTCCAGGCTTGCGAGCAACCGCTGGTCCGCATGCGTACCGAGCTGGGAAGGCACGATCACCTTCCGGATCGAGCGAGGTATGAACATTGCATCCTTCGTCAGGTCGGCGGGTAGGGTCGCGTAACAGCATTGGAAGATCGAGTCCAGTGTCGTTGGGTGTATTACGTATTGCTGTTCGCGTTCAAAGGCCGCTGGAGCGATAGAGAATTCAGTCTCCGATCGTTCACGAAGAACGCGACTCCCAACAATGTTCTGGAATGTTGGTCCGTGGTGGAAGCCCGAATCTCGCAACCTTTGGTACAGGTTCTCGGGCTCGATCTCCTTGGTGTCCTTTTGGTGGGACAGCACAGAGCCAAGAGAAGCCCTGACATCCTCTAGTAAATGCACGCCGTGGTCTGATCTAGCTGTGATGCAGCCCTTGCAGTGCTGTATCCAAGCGTGCTTGGTGCTGACCGACCACAACTCAAATTCGTACCAACCGGCGTTGTCCAGGTCCTTGTCGTTGCAAGGACGGAGCGAGAACTGGATCTCTGTTCCTCTGTTCGAGGCACTCGACGTTTGTGGTATAATGAGAGCATTGATGATGTCCACATCTCGCAAATGATACTGCAACTGAGGTACCTCTTGGTCAGGCTTGCTCTTGAGAAGGCGCATTGCTTCGATGGCCATTGACACATATCCTGCGCCAGGAAGGACCACACTTGATTCCAATTGATGGTCGACTAGCCAAGGAATGTCATTTGTCCTGAGGAAGTTGCGCCAGGTCGGAGTCAAAGGATTCGATCCAGGAATGGCTCTACCAAGCAACTCATGGGGCTTGAAGCGCTTGTATCGATGCTCTTCGGAAGCCCTTGGCTCGATCTTGTAGGAGGTCTGATGGTTCCAAGGATATTCCGGGAGGTCATGGATATACTTTGACTGATGTGAGATGTTCGACTGGGGTTTGTTCACAGCTGTGAGATGGACAGGGTAGCCTCGCGCCACAAGGGCACAGACGACGTCTTGCGCAGTGTCAATCGCATTTAAAGGTCGCTTCAGACAAGAAAGGTACGGCATGCGTGTCTCGCCGAGCGTTTGTCTGACGGGACCTGACAAGGTGTCGTGGGCTCCAATTTCCAAGAAGACGGAGACCTGGCGATTCGGTGTTGGCGCTTCACCCTCAGGCTTTGTCGAATCGAAGATCAACGCTTCCAACGCGTTCGAGAACAGGACGGGACTAGTGAGATTGCGCACCCAGTGTGCGGCCTCAAAAGTGGAACGTGAAGTGACAATGCCACCCGTCACTGGAGATGCAAAAGCGACGTCGAGCTCGCCTTCTGTGATTGGTCCTAGAAGTTCCTCGAGGCAACTCTGGTACTCCTCCGCCATATGCTCCATGTGATGAGAGTGATAGGCGAGAGGGACCTTCAGCTTCCGTGCGAAGACATCATCTTCTGCCAAACGATCTGCGACTTCTTCCAGGGCGTCCATGTCACCAGAGATCGTGACACTGGATGGACTGTTGACACAGGCGACTACTACCTTACCATCAGAAGAGAGATCAGTCAGGTACTCTCGGACTTCTTCAGCACCGAGACCAACGGCCATCATGCCACCTGATAGTTTTGTGATCTTCTGGTACTTCTTGGCAAGTCGTCCACGGTGGTATACGACGCCAACAGCTTCCTTGAACGAAAGCACGCCCGCCGCGTATGCTGCCGCAATCTCACCACTCGAGTGACTGACGACAGCGGAAGGAACGACATTCCAGGACCGCAGCAAGTCAACCAAGCACAGCTGAACAACGACACTGAGCGGTTGACTAAGCTCAATCTCCGCGACCTTGGTAGTCTTCGCATCACGCGATAGCTCTTCTCTCAACGACCAAAGCGCACCAAATTCTCGCAAGTGGGCCTCAGCTTGATCGATAGATGAGCTGAACACCTCAGATGAGGTCATGAGCTCACGGCCCATGGCGTACCATTGCGCACCCTGACCGTTGAAGACATAACCTATACGAACTGGCGCAGACGATGCGCGGGTCGGCTTCAAGCGGCTGTCTTCGAGAGCGTCGGCTAGTTGCTCTAGACTGCGGGCCTTGACGGCGACGGTCCATGGGAACCTCGATCTGCGCTCGGAAAGCGTGTAGGCTAGATCGTTGGGCGCTGGGGCATTTCCTGCCTGCAGGGCGTTGCGGATGTACTTTGCTAGGTCTTTGCATCGTGTGACTGCCCCGGCTTCTTCTTTGGCGCTCAACATGTAGACCAGAGACGACGTGTCGGTGGAGATATCGGAAGGTTGATCAACCCCATTGCTCGCATGGCTATTGCTGAGGTCATAGCCATTGGTAATTGGGTGCCCGTTGGTGTCGGCGTGTTCATTGGTGCTGGCGTGTCCTTTGGTGCTGGCGTGTCCATTGGTGCTGGCGTGTCCATTGGTGCTCGCATGTCCATTGGCGATCTCGCCGTTGCCATTCTGGAGTGCGAAGCGACGCTGTTCGCCAGGGCTCGGGGGAGCATCGAGGATGACATGTGCATTGGTTCCACCATAACCAAAGTTGTTGACAGATATCCTGAACGGCTTGTCCTTTGGCCATGGCGTCAGCTCTGTCGGTACCTGAAGTTTCCAATCCTCTAGTGGTATGTTCGGATTGGCTTTCTCGAAGGTGGGGTTTGCAGGTATTTGCTTGTGGCGTAGTATGAGAGCTGCTTTGATGACTGCTGCTAGCCCGCTAACAGGTTCAGTGTGGCCGATGTTACTCTTGACAGAGCCGACCCAGATGGGGTCAAACTTCTCTCTTGAGTTACCGAAGGTCAATGCTAAGGCCTCGGCTTCAATAGCGTCACCCCCGGTTCCTGTGCCGTGGGCTTCAACGTAGCCTGTTGATGAGAGGTCGATTCCTGCCCGGCTATAGCATTGCTTGATAAGCTGCTGTTGCGCTTCCATAGAGGGAGATGTGATCGTCCCGGTCCTACCGTCCTGGTTGACAGCGGATTCGCGAATCAAAGCGTGGATGTGGTCGCCATCCCTCGCCGCTGCCGAATACTTCTTCAAAACTAATACGGCCATGCCCTCGCCCCTGCCGTAACCACCGAAACGATGATCCATGGAATAGCATTTTCCATCTTCGTGTAGAAGACCCAGATTCGAGATGGCGATGTAGAAGTCTTGGTTCAAAATCGCGTTAGAGGCTCCAATGATGGAAACTTCGGACTCTTGATTCCGGATGCTGTTGACACCCATGTGCAGAGCTACTAGACCACCTGAACATCCCGTGTCGACAGTAATACTGGGTCCCATCAGGTTGTAGAAATGTGAAACTCGGTTCGCAAACATGGCTGGACCGTTTCCAGTGACAAGAGATGTGGGCATCGAGTCCGCGTCTTTCATCAACATCTCGGCATAGTCTCTGCCAAAAGTTGCAGAATATACGGAGGTGTTCGAGCCGGAAAGCTTCTCGATGGGAAGACCCGCTGTCATTCTGTTAGCTCTGGCAAGACAGCGCGTCAGGGGAATCGGGGTGCTAGCTTACCACTCTCAGTCGCATTGTATACTCCTTCTAACATCAGTCTCAGCTGCGGGTCCATGGACTTTGCGACCTCCGCCGTAAGGTTGAAGAAAGGCGCATCGAACTCTGTCAAATCGTCCTCGATGAAGAAGCCGCCCTTCACATGAAGCTTCAGATGGATAATCAGCTACTACCCATGGTTTTGAAGTGCTTGAGGACACTTACACTATCTGTCCGCTGAGAGTCGGGATGCGATGTCTTGCTAATGTCGAAGCGGCTCTTGGGAACTGGCGACCAGCAGCTCTCGCCGCTGGATAATGTGTGCCATAGACCATCGAGGTTCGATGCTGACCCTCCGAACTTGCAGCTGATGCCAACTATCGCTATCGCGTTCGAGAGGTCATCGGATTTCGGTTGTGGAGGAGCATCAGAAGGCACGCCGTTCATGTCCGGAATGCCGTTCGTGGGCGTGGTGTCTGTGTAGTAGAGCGGCATTATGAAAAGGCGGGTGTGATGGGTATCTTGGTTGTCAATATCAACGAGATAAGAAAGAGAAGCATCAAGAGGGAGGCTGAGGCATATATTGCCATTGTTCCTCAAAGGCTATCTGGCATGGAGGACTGTGTGCGCCCCCGGTCTAATCGTATCTAACCCGCCATCCTGTCCTCGAATTAAATTATTCCAACACCCGAAAGCACAGTCGAAACGTTGCGCGTCTATTTTCGATGACGACACAGGAATGTTGTTGCTAAGAGACGGCTAGCTCACGTGATCAAGTGGGCAATCGGGGCGTTGCAAGTGCTCGCGAACTCTTGATAGTGACGCCTCATCTAGGAACGGCTTGTAATGTGAAACGGCTTTTTGGGACAACTCGTTGACTAAACCGGTAGCGTACCATGCGATGTTCGGGACATAGTGCAAAGCACCCCGAACGTTGTCGGGTCATACGGGGAATTGGCGGCTGGTTCATCCGTACAGGGGGCAACGCTCACCATTTTGGTGACTGTGTAAACTCCCTATTATTGCTAGGATGTCCACTCCCATATCTTCTTATCTTAGTGGTGGACCGACGTAACAACCGAACTTCGTCATAGCCAACATGAAAGTCGACATCGTCAAAGTAAACGGGATCTGGCCTCGAGGCCATCAGAACGCATCACCACAATCAGCAAATCTGCCAGCTTTAGATGCATGGTATGCGCACCGCCGTACTGTGCCTACTATCTATCTCTTCAAGAAACCGACGGAGCAACAAGATCTTGTTGCGCGACTAACTGAGAGTCTTTCTCAAACACTCGATGACTTCCCGCGCCTTGTTGGGTCTCTGGAGAGCGTCAAAACTTTAGATCCCGAGAAGAGTGGGCAGGAGTTCCAGCGAACAATTGTTAATTGGGGCAGTTCTAGCGACAGAGCGGTAGAGTTCACTGAGGCACGTACCAGGTCGCGCATCCGTGGACTCCTTCCACCTGCTACTCTCAACGAATCGACATTTCTATGGGACTATTCGCCTCTGTCTCTCCGCGGACTGTTTCCAACACCTTGTGCGGAGCCTCCAGGCATTCGCATTCAGTTTACGGAATTCGCATGTGGTGGATTCAGTCTGGGTGTCGACTTTGAACATGGCCTGGCGGATGGTTATACGGCGGGAAAATTCTTAGAGCGCTGGTCGATGATTTATGGCCAAATGTTCCACAACGAAAGCGATGCGCTCCCCAATCCCCCGTCATGGCAACCAGAAATATTCAGCGACCAACTGGTTGATATCGATCTGGAAGCAGAGGGCTCTGCGCTGCTTGAAAAAGCGAAAACCCTTCCGACGCGAGGCCCATATCGCCGTACTCTCCATTCAGACGGCTCCAACGCACAGAGGTCGGAAATGATGTTCAACTATCTGTTACATGTACCGGCCATGGAGGTCACGCACAAGCTCGGAGAGCTACAGAAGAAAAGCCCAATGCGCTTGACTGACCAAGCAGCGCTAATTGGTTTCTTCTGGGCGTGTCTAAATCGAGCTCGAGTCCACGCGCAACGTCCGCCCATCGACCTACACTTAGCAAGCAGCTTCCGTTGGCTTCTGGGCGTACGCGACGGGCTGCTGGGCTCGCCGTTGTTCGTGGTCATGGTCTCCCCCGATTCTGAGAGCAACCCTACCAACGCCACCGATCCAGTGAACCTGGCTGTCAACGTCACAAAGGCTCTCGGTGAATACGATGACAGTGCCATGCACGCAATCACGTATGATGCTATGTTCACCGACAGTCCCTCACGTGGCTTCATGCCAAAAGGAGGGGACGAACATGTGGAACTCAGCTCCGTAGCTCACTTGGGATACGACAAATTCCATATTGGGCCTCTACGCCCATCCTTTTATATCCCTTCGTCGTCTATACCCAACCTTTTTGTCTTAACAGAGGCTGTGCCTACTGGCCCTCCTGTCGGTAATACGTGGTACAAGAACGGGCTTAACTTGTTCTTCAATGTGACTGAGGATGTGTTCGAAGCGTTCTCGTCTGATCCAGCATTGGCAGAGTGCGAAGTATACCAGGATGTTTGAAGAACAGGTGTCGAGTTTTTGGTTGTTATCCAGGTGGGCTCTACCTTATTTATGTTTCGTCCTAGGATCGCTGGATTGGCTAGACATGTATATACATATAGAAAATGCACAGCAGAGACGCGAATGTATTGAACAACAACCTTGACATTGCTTGATAATATGGGACTTGGATCATGGCTGCCGTGTTGTGGCCCCCTCGGTTCCGATCGGAATCGGAATAGTCCGGCCGCTTCCCCACCTTCTATCAACGATGTATGCGCGAAGCTGCGTTCTTCCTCCACACTGCGATGACTTTGTCAACAATTACTCGATAATTCACGAAAGCTTTGTGAATGCGATACCAGCTGCTTGTGATGCTAGCGTGATCATAGCACAAAATCTCGTCGGGTTGATGCACCTGTGCTCTTGTGCGTCCGGTAGAACAGACGCTCAATAGGATACGCCCGCAGCCCCTGCAACCGCCGTAGTCGTCAAAGAGTAACATAGCAGCAAGGTAAGGCAAGTTTCTCGTACGGAAGCATCAGCAGCAACAACTTCGTTAACAACATAGACCCGTTCAATCGTGGCTAGAACACCAACGTGGGCAGCATCACAGAATTTGCCGTTTAGTGTTGTCGGCACATTGTTCGCGGAAAGCAGCTTTCGTACAAGCAATTTAAGATATCTTAATTCTAACTAATACTGTACATAACACATGTGCGCGCCTTAAAGGTATTGATGTCACTCGATCCGCCCAGCTCCTACTCCTGCCTTGTAATGCCTCCGTCTCTCAATGCGTACAAGTTAACAAGCCCACCACCCAAGTGCTCATTACCAAACACCTTTCTGCCTCCCTCAGATCAATGCTCAGGGCGCGATGGAGGACCTTGATCGCATTTCGCTGATGCGAACGGTGTCGGCAGCCTCCGGGAATGCTCTGACCATGCGCTCTAGCACGGTTTCAGTCCATTCGCCCCACCCCTGCTTGCATTCGGCGCAAAGGACGACACCGCCGAAAGTATGAGCCTGTGGGGCACCATATGTCTCCCGGTAGCTGCACTTAGGGCACAACCCTTCCTCCGCCTGGTCCAGCATAGGCACGAGTCCGTTAAACAACAAAACCTTCTCGTTCGCGAGAACATGACGGTACTGCTCAAGGCTGAATCTCTCTTGCTCCTTTGTTTTCTTCTGCTCATCGATTCTGTTCCATAGCTTGAAGTTGTTCCGTGTCTGCGCGATGACGCGCTGGTCCTCAGGCCGGCCTAAAGTAAGACCCTCCTCCACGAAGCGGTATCGTCGCATGATCATGTGGATGGGGCCACCGAAGTAGCGGAGAAAGTTGATGACACACTTCATCTCGGGTTGTCTCGCCCATGCCACATCCAAAGCCCAGAGCGCCTCGCGGCACTTGTGGTAAGCCAAGACACGCTTCTCCTCCGGGACATATGCAAAGGTGCTGTTGATCTCGCCCTCGGAACGATGCTTCCAGTAGGATATGCCATCGTACATGGTATTACCGATTTCGGCCATGATGTCGAACTGGTCATCCGTGAACCAAATGTGGTCGAGATCGTTGCAGGCTAGAGCAACTCCAATAGTGAAGCGGACGAGTGCGTCGGTGTCGCGCATGCGGAAGAATTGCCAAGGTCCCTTGGATAGAGCGACACTATAACGGCTGAAAAGCATGGTGTTTGTCTGGTGTCGTGACTTTTGCGACGACATCAAGAGGAAGCAGCGGTACTCGCGGCACATCTCTTCACTGGAAACGGAAATATGTTAGCAGGGAAACTTGCAACGTCGAGGGTGCTTAATGGTGGAAACATACCCTCCTACTGTTCCTCCGCACAAGGTGTTCAGCACTCCGGTAAGACTGTAACCAACGACATTGTCGTCATTGGCAACGTCCATGAGATCACCCTTGAATTCCGCAATGATGCCCATCACGATGATGCGCATGAAGGCAACATATCGAGACCAATTCGTGTATTCAGGAATAACACAACGAGTGTATTCCCAAGCCGTTGCGTAGATCTCCTCTTTGACCCGGAATGGAAGGTCGATATCCTTCAAGTCATCCGCAATGTCGGGTGGGTAGTACCAGCGCTCATTGACAACATGGGTTTTGTTATGAGTCGCTTCATCAGAGTGTATGTTGGGTTTTTGATCATCTATGGGAAGAAGATCTTGTTTTCCTTGGGAGCGAAATCGCTGTTTTCGAATTAGCGCTGTACTTGACGTTTACTGACGTCGGATTGAGCGTACCTGGAACATCAAAACCCCTGTCCAAACGATTCCGAAGCCAATGAAATTGGCAAGAACTTTTGTCGGGAAGGCAGACATATTGTTGTGGATGGAATTTTCAATGTAGGAGTTGAGTGCTTCGAAGTGTTGTAGTGGTGTGAGGATTTAGTCACTTAGTGGCGTTCTACTCTTATATCAGAGTACACCCGGTCGAAGCTGGTATCTTCGTAGCATATGTCTTTCTTGATCCACAACTCAGTTCCGTATTCAGCGTTTCATCAATCGCCCTTCTGCAACTCATGCGCGGAGACAGAGCTGATGGTGAATAACCCGAAACCCAAACCCAACCCCGAATAAGGGCCGCGGGATATTATAACAACCTTCGACGTCATGACGTAGTATGAACCGTTGCATTCGCTTATTCCGACATCATTCGGTTCGGTACATTGTGGTCTACTAAGTTGACGACGTTTTGCTATCAATAGCACGGTTGGTATATGTGCCGTTGACGCTCCTTAATGTTCTCTGACGCACGTCGATCCACTTCAAGACCACCATAGGGAGTTTCAACAAGGAATTCCCAGATTCCGTCGCCCAAATTTATATCACTTCTCTTTTTCTCTCCCGAAAGTCCTCCGCCATAGCATCCTACTTGCGGTGATGGCCATGCTGGAACTCGCCCTCTCGGACCGCCCCTTTGCGGGGTGGTCCATTATATTGGTGGTGAGCCGGAAGTTCTCCATCACACGAAACACATACTAAATCCTACCCTAAGGTCATCACATCCGTCATAGTACAAGCCGTTTATCGCCGGTGGATGCACAGCCTGAGCAAGTATCCAGGGCCATGGATAAATAGCGTATCAAGTATTCCAAGCGCGATCGCAGCTTTCCGTGGCGTCCAACACTTGTACAACTACCAGTTACACGAGAAATACGGACCAGTCGTCCGGATCTCCCCCGAGGAACTGAGTTTCACCGAGCCAGATGCTTGGGAGCAAATTTACGGCCACCGCGTATGTTCATCCGAGAGCGCCTGCGCATCATTCGCGGAGTTAGCTAACAGCTGGTTCTTAGCGTGGCGAAGCGATGGAAAAAGCACCTCTTTTCATCGGCGTCGTGAAACCAATCGACGGCTGTGTGGGCATCGGCCTCGCAAAAGGGTCTGAGCATGCCAGGCAGCGACGCGCAATGGCAGTCGGCTTCACGAAGCCTGCGCTCATGGCGCAGCAAGAGATACTCGAGAGTCAAACTTACAAATTGGTGCACGCAATCAAGATACGAGGGAAGGACGGTAAAGCTCTGAACGTGAGTGATTGGTGTATGTCTCTCTTCTTTCCACTTTGCCGTTGGAGATCATGACGCAGACTAACGTGGTATAGTGTCATACACCACATTTGATATCATTGGCGACCTATGCTTCGGTGAATCTTTTCACTGTTTGGATGAAGGCTTTGCCACTGAATGGGCGCTGGCAACAACAAATGTTCTCATTGCCTCAACTTTGGATATGGCTGTTCGGAGAGTAACGGGAGTGGGTACATGGTTTAATCAGATGGCGCAAAACTTTATGCCGAAGGAAGCGATGAAGTGGAGGAAGATTTCCTTTATGAATACTCGCAAGAAGACCTTTGATCGTAAGTTATCAAGACATGTCTGCAGAGCCAGAGTTGGCTAACATCTTACAAGGTCTTGCTGACGAGACTTCCACTCATAAGGATGTGATTTATCACGTTCAACGCAATCAAAACGCCCGAAAGTCTCTTGCACCCACTGAGCTTTTGCTCAACATGACCCTCCTCGTCACCGCCGGCTCCGAAACCATTTCCAGCGTCCTCGTCACCTTCATGTACAACCTCTGCATCCATCGCGATGTCTATGAGCGCCTCGCTACCATGATTCGCATCACCTTTGCTGATCCAAGTGATATCACACTACAAGAATTGGAAGGCTTAGTCTACTTCGACGCATGCATCAAAGAAGCATTGCGTATCTTTCCACCGGTCAGCTCGAATCTTCCACGTGAAGTCCCGGCCAAGGGTGCACAGGTCGGTCCCCACTTCCTGCCAGGAGGTATGCTAGTCTCTGTGGCGCCCTGGGCAGCAGTACGTTCGAAAGACAACTTCCATCTGCCAAACGAATATCACCCCGAGAGATGGCTGCGCAACCACCCCGAGCACGGCTGGGACCCAGCGTTTGAAAACGACAAGCTGTCCGCATCCACACCGTTTGGGGCTGGGCCCAAACAATGCATGGGCCAAAATTTGTCGTACTACGAGATCCGATTGATCGTGGCGCATCTACTTTGGGTTTTCGACTTTGAATTGGAGACCGAGGGAGTAGAAGGTGAGAAGAATCGCTTGTGGAGCCTGGATCCTCATTTCGGGCTTCTGAGATCGTTTCAGACTCTGAACCGACCCGATTTGTACATCCGGTTCCAAGAACGGGCAGGCATCTAGTGGTACTTTGGACGGGTGAGAAATTCAGACGGTATATATCAAAAAGTTCAATCCATGTGTTGTAATGTTTTCATCTCGATAAACCTCGATATGTGCAGGTCGGTGTTTGTAGGAATGTTGCGGATGGCTGGCGATTTGAGAGCTTTGACCACTTCGGCTAGCGAAGCTCCGAGACTTGGCACGCTGCACCTCTTCATGCGAACATTCACGCAGTCACTACGCCGCCAACGCTTTTCTATGCACATCAGACCTCGAGATGTATGCCTTTCAGTGTCCTCAGCTTGACTCAGCATCTACGGCACTCTACAATGATTCCACCTTGGCCATGTGCTTTGCTTCCGTATACGCACACCACGAGCGCGGAACAAGACCAGTCGCATTCTCCCGTCAGTTGAGTGCACGGTGAAAAGAAGCCGCCTCAAGCTTACTTCTTGTTCCACTTCAAACAAAGGTCAGGATCGGTGCGCTGAACAAGAGGCTCTAAGGACGTGTTGCTGTTAGAGCTATAACGCTACGGAATAATCTATTTAGCGGAAGTCGGATCCTTCATACTGATCATGACCGTCTTCGACTGCAAGTACTCTTCCAGACCAGCCATCCCACCCTCGCGCCCGTAGCCACTCTCCTTATATCCGCCCCATGGCAACTGGCTCAAGGGCAGGACGGGGCTGTTGACTCCCACCATGCCGACATGGAGAGCGCGGGTCACACGCAAAGCACGCGGCATACTGGAGGTGAAGACAGCAGCGGCGAGCCCGTAGGAGGAATCGTTGGCAAGTGCAAGACCTTCCTCCTCTGTGGAAAAGGTCTTCACAGCCAAGACAGGCCCGAAGATCTCCTCGCGGTATGCGCGACTGTTGGTTGGCGGATCGATCAGAATCGTCGGCGGCATGAAAAGGGCGGTGGGGTGGTCAGGCACCTCGCCTGCGACTACCTCGACGCCCTCGTCACGGGCAGCATCCACGAAGGCCTGCACTCGCTGACGATGCTGCTTGTCAACCAAGGGCCCAAAGAAGGCTTCCGCCGGCGCGCCGTGGGCTGCAGCCAACTGCTTGAAAGCAGTGCTGATGCCCGCAATGAAGGCATCGGCGATGTCGCGGTGGACAAGCACTCGCGAGGCTGCGGAGCACACCTGGGCACCATTGAGGGCGAATGTCTGCGAGCAATGCGAAATGGCGGTTTCGAGGTGGGCATCGTCAAAGACCAGTGCTGCCGACTTGCCTCCCAGCTCAAGTGTGACTTGCTTCAGGTTGCTCTTTGTGGCTGCATCCTGTACTGCACGGCCGCCGCTGACGGACCCCGTATAGGAGATTTTGCGAATGCCCATGTGCGATGCGAGGAGAGCGCCCGTCGCTGGCCCGCCGGACACAAAGTTCACCACACCTGGGGGAAAGCCAGCCTCGCAGAACAGTTGTCCAAGGTACAACGCGCCCAGCGGCGACTTCTCTGACGCCTTGAACACAAACGTGTTACCTGCTGCGATAGCGGGCGCGATCTGTTGCACTCCAGTCAGCAATCGCCTGGAAGAATGAACATAGGCGGCATTCTCACCTTCAACGCCGAAAAGATGGGCGTCGCATTCCACGCTCCGATGCCTGCGCATACTCCAATTGCCTCCTGCAACACCATCTTGAAGAAGCCATCGCCATCTTCAGTGTAAGTAGTGCCACCGATTTTATCTGTCAAACCTGCGTAATACCGGAAAGCGGCCACATGGTTCCCCACCACCCTCGTCGCCAGCATCATGGGCGCTCCCATACACTGCGACTCGAGCTGGGCTATCTGTTGAGTATGCTTCTCGACCAGATCGGCGTACTTGAGCATAAGCGCACTACGCTGTACGCCTGTCATTGCCTGCCATGTTGGAAACGCCGCCTGTGCTGCCGACACAGCCAAGTCGACATCCTTTTCTAGCGCTACTTCGATCTTGTCTGAAACAAGACTTCCATCGTACGGGTTGTGCACCGTGAGCCTCTCGCTAGTATGCGATGCGACGTACTGTATTTGGTCATTAGCTTCCATACCGCGACATATCTTGTACTGTCTCCGTTCTCACCTCGTTGTTGATGAAAAGTTTCTCTTGCATCTCCATCATGTTTCAGCTGGTTATTCTTCTGGAGCAAATTTTGGAGAAATGATAGCAATTGAGCTGACAGTGGGATATATAAGATAAATGACTTTATCAAGATTAGGGGGGGTTCTTCAACTTCAACTTCTTCTTCGCTTGCCTACACCGCCCGCGACTTCGATACCAACTTGCGCTGCAGCAGGCTAGCACGAAACTGGTACAGTTGAGCTGGCGCAAAATCATCGCGTTACGGTGAGACTGTAATCACGCCGTTGTCGGGTGGTTCCCTTAATCCCATCGGGGTTTTGGGTTGCATAATTCCGGGCGATTGCCTCCAGTCTACCACCCGCATCTGGCCCGACCAGCCTCACCAACGTCAGCCGTTCGCCAACGATCGCGTCTTATCTGCCTCGCGATACTTCTGAGCCTGAAACTCTTTTCTGAGCCGGCGCAGGAACGATAACATTGATGTTGGACAAAACAAACTGAAAGCTTGTCGTAGCAAAACAGACGTCATTCGCAGTCAGAATCGCAGGCGTAATCTGTGTACATATCCTACATTTCGTGTCAAGGTTTCTACACCATTTGATACCTTCGCCATGTATACAGAACTGATCTCCACTCGATTTGCCTCGATTCCATTGTCCTTACCAGCGCTCTGTGCGACGCTGGCTGTGGTTTATGTGATCTACCTGGTGTACAAGGTCGAAGTCCACCCCCGTCTTTTCAACCCGTTTCGACATCTCCCCACAGCAAAAGTAAGATATTACCATGGAATGCTTGGTGCATAATTGACAGTGTTGATACAGGGTGGACTACCTTTCTTAGGCCATGGGCTCCTTCAATTCACCAACCCCCGTGGACAAGCCTATTTGGACATGGCAAACTCGGTACCCAACCAGGGTCTGATTCACTTCCGCGGATTTATGAATGTCAACCATGTCCTGGTAGTTAGCAACGAGGCCCTCTCTGAGGTGCTGGTTCGTCGCGCGTACTCATTCACCAAGCCAGCGGTGTCTCGACGACTGATGAGCCGAATCCTGGGGCCGTCTCTCCTCATCTTGGAAGGCGATGAGCACAAATATCTTCGTAAACGCATTCAGCCGGCATTCAACCATCGAACCGTGCAAGATCTTTGCCCCATCTTCTGGTCAAAGGCCATAGATATGGTAGAAACAATGGAACGGTCCACCGCCTCGGCTGACTCAAAGCACTCCGTAGTAGACATTCTGCCCTGGGGAAATAAAGGTACCCTTGATGCTATCGGTCTCGCTGCATTGGGCAAAGACTTCGACACACTACGTCAACCGAATGAGCTCACGGAGTTATATGAGCTGTTGACTGGCAGCAAAGAAAGCGTTCGTCACTTGTTCATAGCCAACGCCTTTTTGCCCGCCTGGGTGCTACAACTCCTCCCACGAAAGTTCAACCGCGACCTTGATGAAGCTCGCAATAAGTTGCGACAGCTTTGCTTTGCCTTTGTCGAAGAGAGAAAGAAGGAAGTTGCCGAAGGCACCGGACAAAAAGCCCTCTTACTGCAGCTCATACAAAGTGGAACGCTAACGGACGAGGAACTGGTTGGCCAGCTTCTAACAATCATCGGCGCAGGGTATGTCGTCAACGTTTATTGGTGGACAATAGGAATTCCTGCTAATAGCCACATAGATACGAGCCTACCTCAGCAACTTTTACCTGGGCTCTGTGGCTAATTGCCACCAATCCCACCTGGCAAGATCGACTCCGTACCGAAATTCGCGAACATATTCCCTACCGCTTTTTCGACAACGACGCAGAAAGGTTCAGCGACTCTGCTACCCTCGATACCCTCCCCGTCCTCAACGCCGTCGTCAACGAAACACTACGTCTCATGCCAACCTCACCCATTACCTCACGCGTCGCCGTAGAAGACACCACCATCGTTGGTACCCGCATCCCAGCCGGAACGCGTCTGTGGGTTGTTCCCGCGGCTATGAACCGCTTTGCATCGTTCTATGGAGAGACTGCAGATACTTTTGAACCGGGTCGTTGGATTGATGAAGACAGCGGTCGAGCGAACAACCATGGTAATGCACACACCAATTACGCTTTCATGACATTCTTGCATGGACCGCGCAAGTGCATTGGAGCGGGCTATGCAAAGGTCGAGTTACGGGCTTTTATCTCCGCCTTTGTGGGTAGCTATGAGTTTGAGATGGCAGATAAAACCTATGTGCCACAACCTGCTGGTATTACAGCTATCAAACCCAAGGATGGTTTGCCGTTGAAATTGAAGCGTACACAAGCGTGGTAGTCACGTTGTATCGTACTCAAGGGAGTATGATAGGGAAGAAATTAGACAGTGGAATAAATGCAGTAATTAACAACGTTGGACTCCATGCTGCTGTGACGTGCTTCTAAAGTGTCCACTATGCCGCCCAGTTGCTTTTCGATCGTTAAAGTGCGTTCGAGTCGCTACGCACAACCGTATAATCACACAATTATTTCACACGACAGTACTATGCTGACCGAGATTACTTGCAGCCTTCGCAACAGCATGCGTCACGGATTCGTAGGCCCACGCGACGTGCATCCGGTACATGCTTGAGTGCTTCGATCAAAAGGGTGAACGACGATGCATGCACTCCACCGAAATTGTCTTCGCATGAGTAAACGACGAAGCGCATCTCAAGAAAGGCAATAACAGAAAGTGCGTTGTGAACATGTTCATTCGTGACGGGGGACATAAGGAAAACGTTAGTCATATCTGCATCGCTGGAGAGAGTGAAGAAGGTGTTATCAAGAAAGGATGACGAATAGCATAAAGGTTTCGCACGCATCGGTATAGTGCAGCAGCAGGAAATCGCGTAAAGACAGGTTTTTAGTGTTGCCCTACAGCCAGATTCTCGTAGAAGCAAACTCCATGGAGATGAGGCTCCTCGGCTCAACTGGCTTATGCGGTGATGGCTCCGCCAGATCCTCCAATCAGTCCTCAGAGCCGCCTGCCCCCGAGCCTGCCGCGCCTGCCCAGGTGATAAACACGAAACGCCTCCATCTCACTTCTTCTCTGACACCTTCACCATCAACCCCTTGTCAAGGAACACGCCATAGCTGATCGTATCGCACGGCTCAAATGGACGCACAAGCTGCAAGTCGAACACGCGAAGCATCTGCCAGGATTAGCGACGGTCACACCAGCACCATCGCGCACGTTGCGAACATACCTCAAAGACCACCTTCACCATGTCCATCATAGCGATGTTCTTGCCTGCGCATACCCAGCCTCCGTAGCCAAACGACATCTCCACGTCCTGCTCCATCTGCCTGCGTCTCTCGTCGCCTACCTCCATGAAGCGTTCTGGTCGGAACACGGCCGCGTCGGCGCCGAACAGATCTGTTGACTGCAGCAGGGCTGACATGTTCATGCATACATCGGTCCCTGGGGGAAGCATCTTTCCGTGGAAGATTGGATATTCGCCTGCGGGTACTTGTTTTGGGAAGAGGCCGAGGATGGCCGGGCGCATGCGCAGGCCTTCGTAGATGACCGCCTGGAAGAAAGAGATATATGTCAGTGGGGAAGATCAACACGTTTAGGCGCGATTCCGATGAGACATACCTGCAGATACGGCAACTTCTTTCCCTGCTCCAAGGTAATGGGGTAGGACACCTTCTCCGTCCGTACCGCGTCCTGGATCTCAGCAACAAGTCGGTTATACACGGCAGGCGAGCTTATGGTGTGTATGAGAATGGAGCGCATGGCGTTGGCGGTGCTCTCGCTTCCAGCGAGCAGGAGGAAAAGACCCTCAGATTGGCACTCTTCTTCTGTGAAGCCGCGAGCCATCAAACTCGCCAGAAAGTCCTTATGATTCTTACCACCATCGGGTGCAGCAAAGCGACGGCTGACCTGATCAGCTGCGAAACTAATCGGAAGTTAGCGAGAGTGCCCAAAAGAAGAGAAAGATGTAAACAATATGATCGTCAGGCAGATGCTTACCCCATGAGCGCCCCAAAACCCTTTTTATCACTGCTCTTTGGACCGATCAATCTGAGCACGAAAGGCGAGAATGCAATCTTGCGGATCCAACGTATGTCAGCCACTGTCGACATCCTCGGCCAAAGCTCGTCTACTGTGCCCAAGAATTCGTAGTGGTCTTTTTCGTCCTCGAGGTAGCCAACCGCTTTGCCGAAACCCATCCTTGTGATGACGTCCATGGTGAAGTATTTCGTGATGGCCGCTAGATCCAGCAGAGGCTGGCCCTTTCCTGGCGAAGTCACCACATAGCGGTTTCGGAGAACGCTGATAAGCGTCTTGACCTGGTCGTCGATCAAAGCCTCGAGACCTTGAGTTTCGCGCCCGTTGTATGCGGCCATGGACCTCATTTTTGCCTTCTTATGCTCTGCCGGATCGGTAGTCGTGAACAAGTTACCATGATACGGGTTGAACCGGCCAGCTTCATACCAATCGCTGCGAGGGTAATGGTTGCGCGCCGCCGAGATGATGCGCAGGATGTTGGGGTCATCCGTGACGACTTCGTTGGGCCCGACGCGCACGAGAGGACCGTGTTTGGTGTGCAAGTCGCGGAGTACCCAGTATTGACGGCCGCTGTATGTGGTGCGTCCTATCCAGAAATAGGAGAATGGCGCGGTGAAGTGCGCGCTGGGAATGTGACGGAGGCGCCACCATGCTCGGATGAAGCTCTGCACTACCCAGAGGGCGGCGAAGGCTAGGGCGATGGCGTATATTGACTGTTTGCTGAGAGAGATGTCTGATAGCCCGTATCGAAGCTGCATCTTTTAGATCTGATCAGCCTTGTTCTTTCTCGTGGCAGCAGTGAAAGTAATTCGACATACCTTGGGTGGTTCTGCTGGCATGGCTTGTAAGCTCTAGGAATGATTCCGTGTGGTTGTCTCTACAGGCTCTTCTTCTTCCAGCGAAAGGTACAAAAGATGGTAAGGTGAGCAATTTGGTGAGGCCCAGCCTACTCCGGGTCAAAGCCACGTGCGTGTGGAGTGTACTCAAGTGATAGACGATGGAGCATTTCAATTACCCCGGAGCATTCCCTAGGTAATACGGTTCGGTGTATACCAAAATCTACGAGCATCAGCCAAAATGCCGGGGCTTTTTTTTTTCGAATGCATCCATCTTGAAGAGCATTGAAAGCCCTTTCCCACATGAAACCAAAGTTGGACGGGTCTCTGTTTGCATCATGCGAAGGCGAAGAATTAATGAGCCGGCAGCCGCTTGTAAGGCTACAAATTCCACATGTACATCCATCTACTATCTACGACATTTGCGCCTAAGCTGACCTGTCAGCTGGAAATTGCATCTATATCACCGAAGCGTTAATGTCAGGCAAATGTACCGAGTACCACATGATCGGAGGCCAATCAGAACCCGTAATGCACATATAATAAAAGCTTTGATGTTTAGGTATTTGGAAGTATCTGCTCTAAATATCATGAGGTGCTACCAGCGCAACCATTGAAATCCTCTTATCTACCTTCTCCTAGACGTGGTGCTGGCGTCTCTTGAATCGCAAGCCTTTTCTTTGTCTAAAAGGCACCTCTCATTTCCAACATTCCAAACATCTGTTGCGCTGCCGCTCCAGTCTCGGCCGCCGCCGACCGTAGTCCCCCCAAAAGCGTGCTCTTCGTCTCCATGTTGAACATTGACAACTCTCGTGATGTCTGCACAACTCGTCTGAGGCGGAGTTTGACCAATGCCTCAGAACATGACTGAGACATGTCTTTACTCAACGTCAAGCCGCTGATTGTCAGGTATGTCGTTTGGCCGTTGGGCGCGCTGACTGTTGTTGCCTCGCGCATATAGGCTTCTAGATGCTCAATGACCCAGCTCATGGCAGTGCAAAGCATCATGCTCGTGTATATTGAGCCGAGAGAGCAGTGGGCGCATCCGGTGATTGCTTCTTTGGTCTGGCTGAGCTGTTGCTCAACAGCGAAAACAACGTCTAGTGGAACTGCTGTCGCACGCCACAGACTGACAGAATACATGAGATGGCTGAGTTGAGTGGAGCATTTGCAATCCACATTCTTTGACAAGTCGAAGATGAAATTTGAAGCAGCTGGAGAGGAGGAACTGGAATCTTTGCTGAAGTCTGCTGGGGGTAAAAGAGAAGTTTGGTTGTCCTGAAAGAGGTTTCGTTGGCTCGTATGGCTCAGGGGCGGTGATGGCTCCTGTCCTGGTGCCCCAGTACCGTTACTAAGGTCGAAGTCCATACCACTGAGCATGGTCTGGCCTGACGACATATTCCACATCTGCGGCATGACGCCTGGGTGATGGCTATTCGTTGCATTGATGTCGATTCCACTCTCGCCCCACTCCCATAGCGAAAGACTCTCCATCGGTTCAAAGTCAACTCCGTCGCCACTGTGTGATAGTTCCATCGGTATGTTGGTGAACGACTCCATCAAGTCCATTCCTGGAGACCTCATAAGCATACGCCCTTCCCCTCCATCGCTTGTTTCTCTCGAGATCTGCTGGGGGGTGTTCCGTGTCGAATCGTGACGCTTCTTTGTCGAAAATAGCGAGTCCATGGAAGATGAAGAGGGTGTCAGTGGCGCTGTTCCACGCCTTTTTCGTAACCCATTGGCACTGGCATCCTGACCATACGACCCGACGTCATCTGAGACTATAGATGTTTGACGCCGCCTTCCCGGGCGGCGTGCGACGCTGTAGTTGCAGTCTTGTTGGCAGCCACGGTCTACGCAACGTTGGCAAACTGGCTTTTCGCGACTGCATTTGAGCTTCGATAGAGTACAGATATCGCAAGAGTTGCGCAGCCGGCGGGTTCCCGGACGCGTCGGATCCATGTTGGTAGCTTCGCGAAGAGAATAGAGATATGTCGGTTGTGTGCAAATTGAAAATTGACCTTGAACAGATGAACGTGAAAACCTTGGAATGAGAGTGTGGTGGTGTTGACAGTGCGATAATCTCGAGCTTATGTGATGCTATCTGATACAGATGTAGATGTTCGCTGTTGATAAATTGGCAGGGGACTACTATTAACCGGTGTCGTAATTGTACACTCCTGGGGATCCATGGTCGACCAGAAGTATGAACAAGCTTCGTACCATCGTAGGAGAATCGACAACCCAGAAATTGAGTTTTCGCATTCGGTGCGGATGCTATGACTGTGAGTGCCTTACAACGGCGGATGAGCTGTCTTCAAACGTTTACAGCGGCATTCGTTACCGACCACCAAGTTCTGGTAATAAATGTGATGCAATGTTGACGTCCCGTCTCCGCGATGGCACGCCGTGCAAGTAAAAGCCACACATCGTCGCGCGTGTTAGGTATCTACTACCCTGTCTGGACAAGCAGCGCCGTTGAGGCAGGCCTGTCTTGAGGCCTGACGGGGCCTAGAGTTTTGTGTCCTCATCTGTTATGCAGATCAAGGGCGCAGACATAGACTGTGCGCGTTGAAGTGGCTGACACAGTGACACTTCAGCCTCGCTTCTGGGAGTTTCCGTCGATCATCGCACGCCCACGGACAGTTGACTAAGGGGGAGTTGGGCTGGTGGACCTGTACGGCATACCTTATTCTGTGATTGCGTATTCCTACTTCGTACCCATCGCTGAGACAATTCCTTCTGACTTCACAGAGAAGCACTCCGATGACGTCGAAGAACCCCAGTCATAAGGTGAGGCGCCACTCCGAATGCTTGTATGAACGTTGGTGTGTGTTGACCAGGGTACTCATGACTGCGAAAGGTCGGGACACGCTGTTGCTTCGCTAGTGTCAGCCACCCGGTTCTGCACACAGCATTGAGTGAGAGTGGAGTCGGCCCGGTGCCGACAAGCCTCCCACTTCTAAGGTTGCCAACGCGCAAGCTGCTTTACGCCAACCTTTCCTTCACGCAAGGTCTTGCATGAGACACCAACCTTCTAACAAGTAATTTGATCGTGATAAGTCGCAAGTTCAATCGTCGCGGGTAGTGGTTGTGAAACGGTAGTCGGGGGCAGCCTCGGAATCGAACTTACGAACGGGTAAGGCTGGCACTCCCTTGTAATGACAACAACAGACTTCGTGCATCGCACATATCTTGGCCCTACCAGCACCACGGACGGGGGTCTGGTCACAGCTCCCTTGCCCATCTCAATTACGAGGTCGCGCATGGGTCTTGTTAGTGTCTGCTCTTAATGGCGGGTAGATGCCGAAACACTGGCGTATTTTTAGGTACTCGTTGTCTCTGCGCCTGGAAGTGTTGGGAGTAGGTATCGGTCGCGATCGAGACTGTGGTCAAAGTGAATGAACCTTATGAAGTGAAGAAATCGCTGCGCCCCTTTTCACTGTGCTCGGCGACAGACGCGGGAGTTTACAGTACTGAACCCCTTAGGCCTCAACGTGGCGCGTTCGGTGCGCGCGGCAAACTCCATGTCCTGAGTTGTGGGTCTGAGATCGGCGCTAGAGCTTAGTGTGCATGACGTCGTGGTTCAGTAGGCCGGCACCCGGTCGCCAAACAAGCCTGTACTTACGAACTTGCTCTTGCGGAAGGCTTTTATGATCTTATTCGTGAACTAAAGGTTCTTGACAGATAGACCTCTAGAGAACCACAGTGTCTTTTCATTAGTACCCAGGACTTTCTTATTCTTTTATTATACTCGTGAAGAGAACATTTACCGAAGGAAACAGTTTCGTTGTTCTGCGCTCTGCACGGTAAATTCGGTAAGAAGTGAGTTTGGGCGATCTGCTTGGAGACCTCGGGATGGCTTAGCCCATCTCCCGCAGGACCCACACCCACAACTACCGCATTGCTTTCGATAGCTCGGAACATCAGCTACGACTCCCCGCGTTGCTGCATGCCCAGGTTCTGGGCATCAACAGTCATCTGAACGCCGCTAGGTGAGGTTCACAGGCAACTGAGCCGACCTCGGGACGAACTGTATGTTTCATGAACGACCCACCGGTCTCTGATACTCCAGGGCTGTATTTATGCATGAAACCAAACAGTATTTATCCCGCGGAGGATCGGAGCAATGTAAGCTCGGAGAGAAATGAGAGAAAGATGTACAGTATAACAGCATCATGTTTGGCTAATGTATCCATGTGCACCATCCTGCAAGCACTCATCCTCTTCCTGAACGACCTTGTATCTCTTGCAACTGTGAATATGGATATCAGGGTACGGCATTCAACAACCAAGTGCATTGCTTCAAATTTGCTTACTTCATATATAGGGCCCTCTGTCAAGCGACCAGACTAGGCAGTGCATGTGTTGGAGATCCTCGACAAACACTGAATGCTTTCTCAAAGATCCAATCGGCATCGAAATACACGATCCCGCTGCAGAGTACAATACACTAGAGAAGGTTTTGGAGCTCGACCAGAAGCTATCAAATCTGTATAGTGCGATGATGGAGTGCAGCACATGTTCTTCAGACCCCATGCGCGCTATGGCTCTTTTGCAAGAGCTGGACGTTCTTTGCACACTTTACGTCGCGGCACAAGCAAAATATGCGACAACAGACAACCATATCAAGAGAGGCAACAGTGAAGGTTGTGTAGAGTTGGGCGACAGCAAGTTTCAAGTAGGCCGGTTCGTGTTGGACAGTGAGGAATCTAAGGCAATAGGCCGCATTATCGTCAAGCAGGGGTTGGATCATCTCCAGAAGAAGCTGCTGATAGTGCAAGCGGAGCAAAAGCGGGTCAACTCTGGCTCAATGAACGACGAGATCGGGGAGAAGGTGCGGGCGATACTATCGAAAGTCTGGGAGGCTTCCGCGTATGGATGTCTGTAGCCGACAATAGAGGCAATTCCCATCATCAGCGTCATGCACTTCATGAATCTAGATCTCTCAGGGCTTTGTAACGATCCATCAATCCAAAGACAAGCCACACCACGTGGGAACCAGCATGGAGCATGGAGCATGGATGAGGACGTCAGGGCTGGCAGGCGTTGGAAACGTGGTAGCCTGCAACGGTGATTGAAAGGGCATCATTGGATTATACCGAGTCTGCGAAACGGCTTTTCGGGCCTTAGCATCGGGTCGATGCGGGACATTATACGAGCCGGCATACGTCTCAAGTGATTGGTGATGCAGGTACACTTAAGTCCCCCACTCCCACATGGCTTCAAGGATACCTAGGTGAATCTACAGCACAATCAACATGACATCGACCGTTCCTCTCTACGAACTATGCGTACCCCCACTGCGGAAAGCGATGCGAAACCATTTGGTGGTTTTGAAGAAGGGTGAACAGTGGTGCGATGAGAACAGATATCCGCATTCGAAAGTCCTCAGTGCTAGACTTGCACCGGATATGCATGTACGTATCTTGCTCACTTCCATCTTCGAAGATAAGAGTAATAGCTAAAGAATCTTTCTCGCAGCCACTCGCACTCCAAATTTTCTTCCAAGTTACCACTGCAACGAAAGCGCTGGAGCGTCTTGGTGGCATGGAAGTACCCACGTTCGGGTTCGACGCGGCCTCCTTCCAAGATCTATACACACAGATTGAGCAGGCCTTGGAATACTTCGAGAAGGCGCAACCCGAGGCGTTCGCCGGGAAAGAGGACATGCCCGTCATGATCGACGTGCCTAACATGTGGCATTTCGACTTGAACGGCTTGACTTACTTGCAGGAGTTTGTTCTACCGAATTTGTAAGAAGTCATTAGCCTCTTGAGTACATGCTTGCGTTGCTAACAAACTTGATAGCTTCTTTCACAACGTGACGGCCTATGGGATCATTCGAAATGTCGGGGTACCGATAGGGAAACTACATTATCTTTCGGGTGAAGACCGACTCATCGGAGCGTGATCGTACTGCCAGCCTGATCAAGTGGAACACTGAATACATACCCTGGAGCCTACATTGACACCAGATCTTTCCAGTCGATGGTTTTCTTTTAGTATAGTCTACAGGCTATCTTGGTTGATATCTTCTACCAGGTGATGCATTAAGGCTGCACATAGACGAAGAAAATTTAGGCCAGATACAAACATGTCACATATCGTAGATGTAGAAGGCGCAATAGGCACCAACAATGGAAAGTAAGGCGCGCAGTTACCCCGCTAGTCCTCTCTCGATTACCTCCCACCTCGCAACATCACCACCCCCAAACCCAAGATGTTCGACAAACTCCGCGGAAAGTCCCCATCCGGGCATTCCAAAGGCGACTCTACAGATTCCACCAAAGACAATTCATCATTCGCACCCCCACCACCCGCCTACACAGCACCTTCCTCATCAGCATCACAACCCGCATTAAGCCACCCCGTACAGACACGCTTTGCATCGCTATCGCTCCACAAAGAAGACCGCCTCCGCTTCCTGCGCTTCCCTGAGCCCATCATCTCCAAGTGTCGCGCCACCATTCTCTCAACCCGGCCGCTAGGTATTAATAAAGAGCAGCTCTACGCAAACAGCCACGAGTTCAAACTAAACGGCTACCCATGGGGCGGCTACGGCAAAGAAGGCGTTGAAGCACGGCGTCTGATGAACGGTGTACTAGCAACGCTGCATGCATCAGGCTGGCTCTTGACACTCAACACCGACATCTCTAAATCCGCAATGGACAAAGATACCCTCCTCTTCCGGTTTCAGAACCCGATCCCTGTGCATCACGAATGGTGTGTTGTAGCCTTTAGTCGCCAGAACCGCCTTCGCTTCATCGACGCGCCTGCTTCGTTGTATGAGTCCTTCCCGGCTCGTGTAGGTGCGGATTGTATCTTGGAATCTGGGTTAAAAGAGCAAGGGGTGTGGGAGTGCAAACTCAGGGGCAATCCATGGCAGCCTAGTGGGGAGGAGACGATGCGAGTGAGGGAGTTGTTGATTGTGTTGGTCGAGTTGTTGGAGGAGGAGGGGTGGAGTGTGTATGCTAGTATTGATCAGAAGAGTAGTGGGGGGCAGGGTGTTAGTGAGACAGATACTTGGCATTGTTGTAGGGTGAAGGGGTGGGAGAAGGGTATGCCGGTTTATATGAGGTGAGGAGCATAGGTATGTGGTCAAGACCTTCCAGGTCGATGCACGGGATTTGTGCTGGTAGCATGTACTATTGAAGTCTGTATTGCTTGATGTAATGGACCTAAATACTCAAACGCCGTCTATGCAAGTTTTCAATTGGGTATACATGAATGTTACAAGCTAATCGCCGAGCCCTTTCATACTCAGGAGAGAGGGCTGCCAATCTCCTTCTTCACCCAGTTTTCTAATCCGCCGAGAGCGATGATCTCTTGCACGTTGGGAGGTAGCTCGCCGACCTTGACGTTCCACTTGGCGCCATTTGGTCCTTCTTGTACAGAGACGGTACTCCTGCGAACATCCCATTCCAGGGTCCAGCCAGTGCGGCGGGTTGGTTGCTTGGCTTGACTTGGCTGAGCAGCAGCGGCGGGAGGTGGCGAATCGAGCGACTCGCTGTTATTGGAAGGCTCCTTAATAGCCTGTTGTGAGGATGTCGCATCCTTGGAAGAGAAGACTTCGCGGAGACGATTGGCTAGCTTGGGTACCTCGACTCCCATCAAAGCATTGTTGATGCTGTTTCGGCTGAAGATGTTACCAAAGCTACCAGAGACGACTAGCGGGATGCCCTTGGCGAGGATAGCAGTTGCGGCCTGCTCACGGCTGCTACCGCAACCGAAGTTGAAACCGGATACGAGGACGTCGCCAGCCTTGGCAATCTGCCCAAAGTTGGGGTCGTAGTTCTCCATGCACACTTCCGCCATCTTCTCGCGGGTAACATCGTCTTGGTATGTGTATTTACCGGGGTAGATACCGTCGGTGTTGATGTTGTCTGCATCGCAGAAGACAATCTCACCGCTGATCTTCTCAGGGAAGCCGGGGAGGATCTCGGTCAGCGTCTCGGCTTCCGAACCTGGTGCCGCAGGCGGGTTGACAGATTGTGTCTCGGGCTCAGCGTTACCGAAGGTATCGATGGCAGCTTCAGCATCCTTGATGGCCTTTTCAAGCATGTCCTCGATTGTCATCATGCGTTCTTCTTCAGGAACACCATCGCCTTCTCCACGTCGAACACCTTGGTAGCCTTCAGGAGCCTCGTACCATCCCGGGCCAGAAATTATGCCCGACAGGGCACTTGCAGCAACTACTTCAGGGCTAGCAAGGTAAGCCTTGGCGTCAGGCGAACCCATACGACCCTTGAAGTTGCGATTACTGGCGCTGATACCAACCTCACCAGGTTCGAGAAGACCGGTACCAAGTCCGATGCAGGGGCCGCAACCGGAAGGTAATGGTTGCGCGCCAGCTTCCAAAAGCGCCTGCCAGTCACCAGCCTCTTCTGCGGCTTTTTGTTCAGGAATTGACGCGGCAGCAATGTAGAAGTTGACATGGTCAGGGATCTTGGGTATCTTGCCGCCATTCAGAACGGCGGCGTCCTTGAAGACGTTGGCAGCGGCAGCAATATCGGAAGCGCGGGAGTTGGTGCAGGATACGAGGTAAGCCTTATTGATGGGGATGTTTTGGCTCTGGAGCTCGAGCAGTGGGGTGGCCACCTTGACGGAGTTGGGACCGGAGACATAGGGTGACAGAGTTGACAGGTCAAGGAAGAGCTCCTTGGCGTATACCGCTCCCTTGTCCGCAGCCAACGCAGGCTTGAAGATGTGACCCATCTTCTCACCAACGATACCAGTAGCAGTGAACAGCTTATCAATACGTTCGTGGACAAACTGTTGTTGATGGTGGTCCTTGGCCTGTCCTTCTCCCATAGCTGCCAGAGTGGCCCTTGCGCGAAGCCAGCCGTGCAGGGTAGAGTCGATAGGGAATAGACCCGTAAGCGCACCCCATTCGGTTGTCATGTTCGCGATAGTGAGACGATCGTCGATGGGAATGCTGCCCAGGGTCTCGTCAGTGCCGGTGAACTCGATGGCGTGATTGAGCACTTCGTCCTTGTTGAAGAGGCCAGCCAGAGCAACGATGACATCCTTTCCAGTCACACCCTGGGGCATTTTGCCATTCAGTGTGACTTTGGCCACGGGCGGAATCTGCCACCAGGTCTTGCCCGTTGCCCAGATACTCGCCGCATCTGTGCGCACGACAGGTGTACCCAAGCATCCGATACCGCCGTACATGTTGGAGTGGCTGTCAGAAGCTACCGCGAGTGTTCCCGGCCAGGCGTAGCCCTCCTCTACCATGATCTGATGACCAATGCCTCGGCCAGCGGGGTAGAAGACGACGTCCTGCTTCTGTGCGAATTCCTCGATCTGGCTGTACTTCTTCAAGTTCTTGTCCGTCTTGTTCTGTACGTCGTGGTCGAGCGTCATGACGATTTGGTTGGGGTCGTTGATCTTGGTGGCTCCGATGCCCATGAACTTGAGCGCCACAGGCCACGAGTTGTCGTGTGTCATGCATTTGTGCGGTTGCAATGTCACGTAGTCGCCCGACCTGAGGACTTTGCCCTGCGCAACTCCGACGGCATGTCGCTGCACAATCTTCTCGGTGAGAGTCTGGGGTGTTGCGGGCGTCTCATTGAGCGAAGAGAGGAAGCTCGCCGCCGGGCTCTCCTTCATCGAGGGAAAGACATCATGGGCATCGCGACGGACGGCGGTCGTGGCAAAGGTTCGGGGTACGAAACACGGTCGAGGCGAAAGCGAGGCGGCACGAAGAGCAAGACTTGCCCAGGGCTACATTGAATATTAGAGGATATATAGCCGGCGACGACAATTCCTACATACTGCTAGTTGCCTGCGACCCAGGAGCCGGGCTGCCCGTAGCGACATGGCCATTGCTGTGGTGATACCTGAACTGGGAGCAATGTGGTGTTTGCAGCAAACGGCAGTGATGCGCATCCCCAGACCAAAATTCGCGACCCACCCGCGCACCGAAACCGGCGTCAGCGGACTTGCGGCGCCTGCCATTGGGCGCAGCCGGACACCTGCAATGACTTCGCATAATGCTAACAACTCCCACGCGGGGACATGTAGGATCCGGGGCAAGCCATATTTGAGTACTCTGCATGAGGGGTTGCCATGTCCACGCCTGCGTGTTGTATGCTAGCCCGAGATCGGAAGCAACTTTTGGTAAGAGGTTGGCATTGGAGTCATCCGTATGACGCGACGTGAGAAGACTTGCACCAGACAAACCGCCCCTCTTTGATCAATTTCTCCCAAGTATCTCCGACTAACTCTGCACACCCACTGCTAATCTTCAAGCCCGTCGTCACCATGGTCAACCGTTCCGACGTCAACTACTTCGGCGCTGGCCCCGCACCCCTGCCCACCGAGGTCCTCGAGAAGGCCTCGCAGGTGCTTCTGAACTACAAAGACAAGGGCATTGGTCTCTGCGAAATTTCCCACCGCTCGCCAGAAGCCAACGAGATTCTTGCCGACACCAAGAAGGCCCTGAGCGACTTGCTCGAGATCCCGGACGACTACGAGATCCTCTTCCTCCAGAGCGGCGGCAGCGGCGAGTTCAGTGCGACCGTATACAACCTCGTCTCGATATGGGTCGAGAAGAAGCGCGCCAAGATTGCGGAAGAGGTGGGCGACAACAAAGATGAGGTGGTGAAGAGGCTGCGCAAGGTCGTCGACGAGGAGCTCAAACTCGACTACCTAGTCACCGGCTCTTGGTCGCTCAAGGCATCGCAAGAGGCAGCGCGTCTTGTAGGAGCCAAGCACGTCAACGTGGCCACCGACTCGCGCAAAATCAACGACGG